ACAAATGATGAGATTTGGGTTCACTCCATGACCTGATCACTTCAAAACGTGTGTTCACTTTGCCCATTTACTAATGACCAATTATCATCACTGGATATATTTTATATGATCTGTGAATTAACAAATTTATTCATACAGTAACTCATGTCAACTGCAGGTATTGCTGAGAAACAAAACAAACCAATTACATACTGTAGAACCATCTGCAATTATCACAAGACTTATTAGCAGTTAAGTCTCTTTAAGGCCAAATGGACTGAAACTAGTACTACTGCTATTGAAACTAGTACTGTGTTACCATAGGGATACATTCAAAACCCTATAAAAGCCACAGAGTGAAATCAGCACCTGGGGGTGTTTCAGACCTGGCAAGATGATGACCTTCATTGCTGGAATAAGCATGATTATACTGTAGCTGCTCCTCAGTGCTGGCATATCCATTTCCACACTCTGGGAGAATCTTACGACCTTTAGCAAGAAGGCAGGAGCCATCACAAACCAGGACCTTACCAAGGGCTGCCATCAGGTACCCACACTTTCAAGTCTTACTGGAGCCTCTTCTTCGAGTAAGTCTGATGTAGGCACAGATCTAGAACACCACCAGTACCAGATCCAAAAGCTACAGCTCAACCTCCTCTCTGGGCTACAAGCTCAATGCATTTTTTTCTGGAAGGGACACTGGTTAATATATTTTCCTTCTCCTTTGCTCCTCCCAGATCCTTGGCTTTGTTAGGTTTCTGGGTTAGATTTTCTAAATCTATGTTTGGTGTTCTAGGCTCTTTCAGTACTACTTTTTAGCTAGCTGTATTATTTTAGATAATATGACATTACACAGAATGGCCTTCAGGCCTTTTGTTAACTGAAAAAGTACATTTCAGAGAGCAGGCACTGAGTCAACAGGGTTTGGGGTTTTTCTTTGCTTACAGTACTTTCATTCAATTTGTTATGCTTCTGTTCAGATTAACACCAAGGAAACATTATATAAATAAGGCCATGTTTTCAGTTTGCCACAAATATATACAACATACTGCATGCAAACCCAACAAACTACATGCACCCTCCAATGTTTCTTTTATATATCATACACACTGGTATTATGTAACCTCAAACATGAAGCAAACAGGGACCCATTTGGCTTCTTTAGTAAGAGGAGGATCTTCAAATCAGAGTTGAAGCAGTGTCATTCTGCCACCGAGGAGGCTCAGCACAGAGATAACCTCTTTCTTCATGGTGAGCTTTTGTGACAACCCTGCATCAGTATACTACTGAACAGTAAAGCTCCAAGTCCTCGGGCACTACAAGGGTGCACCAAATACAACCAACTATGAAGAGTAGCTAGAATCACAGTTATCCTTTTTTATTCTTTTTTAAGTCTTGACCATATTTATCTTGTTTTCATCTTGATGCCTCTGGTGGTAGAATGGGGCCTCAAATACGCAGCTTGCATAAGGACTGAAGTACATGAAATCACAACCATGTTGGCTGGAAGGGACCTCTGGAGGCCTGGAGGTCAATCTCCTGCTCAAACCAAGGCCAATGGTGATGTTACACTAGGTTGGTGAGGACCTTGTGCTGCTCAGTTGTGAAAATCTCCAGAGATGAAGATTCCTGAGCCTCTCTGGGCCATGGTGTTCACCTCCTCCTGTCTGGGTAGCTCATACCTGCTTCCATCTTCCCAGTCCTCCATTCTGGTGTTTGAGTTCAGATAAGCACTGCTGGATCAGCCAAACTGTTTCTCTGCCATGCCTGCTTGATTTCCAACTCATTGGACAAGACACTTTTTGTGCTATGAGCATGTTCTCTTTGAGTATCAATGCACCGTCCTAGTCTCTGCTGTCCCCAAAGCATTTTCCTGAGAGTTCCTGACACCAATTTCCTGAACAAGACAAATTCTGTTCTTCTGAAGCTTATAATCTTTCTTTGTTGACTTCCTTTCTTCTCTTGGGGTCTTAATTCCAATTCCTGGGGTCACTAAGGCCAAGGCTGCCCTTGACCTGTACATTACCTGCTAGTTCCTTCTTTGTTTCTCAGTAACAAATCCAGAATCTGTGTCAAAATGAAATGTTCTTGATGTCCCACAAAAATTGGTTGGACTGCTTTTACCCCACCAGGTGCTCCTCCAGGTATCAGAGCAGTTTCATATTCCAAAGCAGCCTGTGCCTATATTTGTCAACTTCCTTCTAGTTATTTAAGGTTTCATCTACTTCTTCTCCCTGATCAGGCAATTCATAGCAGGTGCTTCTGCAATGTTTCCCATCTGGTCTCCCCATCAATTCTGACCCCACAGCTTTCAGCTGCTCAGTGCTTAATCCAAGAGAAAGAAAGATCCAGGCAAAGAGAAACCCTTTTGTGTGGAACACAACTTCCACTCATTTCCCTGTCTACTTTTCCAAAAAAGCTTGAATCCTTCCATCACAACACTCATCATGTGCTGTGCCATGCCGTCCCCATGATCCCAAAGAGGTCACAGCCCTACAGCTGTGCTGGTATGTCCAATTCCTCTGGTTTCTTTCCCAGGCTGTGTGTTGATGTACTGTGTTCACACTCCCTTCTCAGGGCAAGCGAGCGAGTCTCCTGTTGTCTCTGGCCAACTCTGTCCATCCCAACCTTCCTCCACACATCTCCTGGGGGTTGTCTTCAGCCCCACAAGTTCCTCAGTTGTGGAATCCCCTTTATTTTAACCTAGAGCTTAAAACACCAATTACCTACAAAATTAGCTATTCCCTGTTAGCATGGTAGGCTGTGTAAATAACCAGCAAGAGAATGCTCTCTGCACTCCTTTCAAACCCACAAATTTTAAGGCATTATTTTGTTCAAAGACTCAACTATAATAAACTATCATCATTATTGAAAAAAAAAAAAATCTGGTTTGGCTTTTGTCTTTGGTTACTACAGGAAGATTATTTTCCTCCTCTGATTTATTTTCAGTAGTACTCAATATATACATTCCCATTTGAGGTGCAGCAGTGTTAAACCACTGCCCATCTGCTGTGGAACAGGCAATCTGCCCTGGAGACTCAAATGTTATAATTTTATTCACTGACCTGCAATTTCAAGTGGTTCTGCATTCTGCTGCAACTGCTGAAATTTGATGTAGAACTAAATAACTTAAACACATAGGAAGAATTTTTATATATTCTTTATAGATTTAATTTTCTTGCCGTAACCTTGAACAGGGCTGCCCAGGACTGCGACGTCTGTTCCTTCCCTAAGCTGCTACTTACGTGGCCAGTGAACAGATGCAGAGCAGGATCATTGCACAAACAGGGCAGGGGAAGGATGGTAAATCATTTTGCTTAACTGACTGCTTGCAATGCAAAGCAGGATGTGTTTTTTTAAAAGGTGAAATGCTGAAACTACATTCTTAATGTTCTATTAAAAACAGTTGAATAAATTAAGCTCATGGATCTGCTTAAGAGTTTGAAGTCAGTTCAGCTTCGTGATTACTCAAGTAGGACACAAGACAGTGCACATTTTTGATAATTTTACAGCACTTTTTGGATCAGCATCCACACAGTAGCGCAAATACACTTCTATCATAAATATTTGTCTATTATTCTCAGATTATCTGAAATGACAGACACATCCACAATTCAGACCCAATTTTAAATGAGATAACTTCATCTTGTATGATGCATTTCTCAACTCTGTTTCAAGTACATAATACTCCCACAAGGCTGAGGATTTAGTTTATCAAGACAGTTATTATTTTAAGGTAAATTCAAATTTTCTTTTCTTCTTTTAGAGTTTACTGGCTTTGAAAAGCTTGATTAATTTGAATTATATTAACAGAAACACAGTTTTTAAACTAAAGGTCTGTATTGGGGGGGTGGTATTTATTTCAATCAAGAGTTTTGAGATTTTATGTACTCATACTTCTTCCTTTTATGACTGAATTACACAGACATGATTTACAAATTAAGAATTAGTAATACTGTTTTAAAATACCACTACGGGAATGTGAAATGAAAGCAATAAACCTCTTTTAAGACATTTTAAGAACTGCTAGTCATACTGAAACACAACTTCCATTAAAATGAAAAACAAGAAATGTTATGCTTGCGAATAACCCATCACGTCAAAGCAGTTATGATCTAGGTAAAACTCGGGATAAATGGTGTGGATTTGACATTGTAGTAGCCCTGGCATTATAGAGGCATGAAAGAGCCAAGATTCTGAACATGTATGATCAGTACAAATGTAATACCTTGGATAGCCACTCTTATTTAGTTCTGACAAGCTGGCAAGTATGAAAGCTCTAAAACCCATGCTTTACTATTTTTGTGTATAACTGTGTATGGTGGGTAGGTGTATGTTCTGGGGAAGCTGCTCCATCTCTGGTACTCTGGCAAGTTCTGCATTCAGGCACTTTTAAATTTGCTTAACTTTTTTCCCTGTAAAAATGAAACTGCTGCTGTCAGAACTATGCCATCCCTGCTGCGGGAATTAGATCCAGACAGAGTGACCTGAAAAACACGGGCGCTGGAGCACTTGAGACTCCAGTCTGGGGGAGAAAACTGAGGTCAAGCCTGAAGCTCCAACCCCGGGGCTGAGTCTGCTCCCGGGCGAGCACGGCCCATGGCCAACATAGCATCACAAGATCACTGCTCTGGGGATTTTGTTTAAAGTAACGAAGAGTCATGCCAGGACCAACAATCTGAATCTGGAGTGGAACGTGTCTCGACCCGGACACCGACAGAGTTCGACGTGAGGAGGCCTCACCCAGCGGCCTGCGAGCTCCTCCCGGGCAGCGTTTGGCACCGCTGGGACGGGCCTGACCGGAGCCCCTGCCCCTCCCGAGGGCACCGGGGATGCCGCCGGCTGCGGCTCTGCCCTCCCCGCGCCCCGGCCGCCATTAGCGCTCCGTGACGGCCGCCCCGGCGCCGGCGTGACCGTCCCGGGCGGGGTCCCCGCCACACCCCGGCACAGGCTGCCCGTCCCGGGCGGGGTCCCCGCCACACCCCGGCACAGGCTGCCCGTCCCGGGAGGGTTCCCGCCACACCCCGGCACAGGCTGCCCGTCCCGGGCGGGGTCCCCGCCACACCCCGGCACAGGCTGCCCGTCCCGGGCGGGTTCCCCGCTACATCCCGCCCGTCACTCGCGGGTTCCCCGTGCCCGGGATGGCGTTGACGCTGCTGGACGTGGCGCACTGGAGCACATGGGCGGTGTGTACCGTGATGAAGCTGCCGCAGCTGGTGGCCGTGCTTCAGGCCGGCTCGGCGCGGGGGCTCAGCGTGGGCAGCCTCCTCCTGGAGCTGGCCGGGTAAGGCGGCGGGGGCGGCGAGGCCACACGGGGACAGCGCGGCGAGTTCCCCCCGCTGTGGGCAGAGGGTGCGGGGGGCGCGGCGGGAGGAGGCGCTGGGGCCGCGGCTCCCCTCGGCCGGGTGCTGCAGCGGCCAGGCATGAATTGCTTCGGGCGCGGCTCGGGCCAGGCGTGAGGGCGCGCTGAGGGGCGGCCCGAGGGACAGCGAGCGAGCACACCCAGCTCTCTCGGTGTTACACCGCTCCCTTCCGAGCTCAGGGCCAGCCCTCTCTAGGGGAGCCCACAGAGACTTCGGAGAAGGAACTTCCTGTTTTCAAAGTGATTCCCTTAAAGGGAGACGGCTTTTTTAACTTGCCCTAAAGCACGCGCGTCGCTGAGAGCTGCTGAGGGTGCAAGCCGTGTGTTTGGGTTATTCAGTGGCCCGTGGGCCCTGTCCTGCAGGTTGTACTCGTCAGACAGGTTCCCCTCACCCAAATCAGTAAAACGTAATGATTCTTTAAGAAAATTATAAGCCGTGTCAAACTCCAAAGACTTGTCAGCCTGTAATAAGCTTACATGGGCTAGGCTTATTAAATCTTGCCTAAAGAGGATTGCATGGAATGAAAAATAAATAAACTCCGTGCATGCACATTCAGATGTGGGCACAAAGTGAGAGAAAATACCTTGAAGAGCCTCATGTTGGCCAAACCTATGGATGCAGGTGGGCAGAATATCCAGCCGGATGGCTGCTAGCTCCCTGCACCAAGCTAAAATATGGCCTTTTATTCAGAAAAGTCCCCTCACAAAACCAGCATGATGTTTCTGAACTTGCCCATGACATGTCTTCAGGCAGGGGCACAGCTGCTGATCCCGGTCTGGCATTCAGGTGTACAGACACCTCTGAGATAAGTAAATTCTAGTTCCAGCAGAGATTAGTGACCCCCCAGCTCCAGCCAAAAAGCAGTTGCAGCATTTTAAAATAATTCCTGTGCATTAAAAAAGCTTTGTAAGTAATGTTTTAGATGAGCATGGAGAAGGCATAAATGTCTACTGAGCACCTGTGTGATAACCACAGTACCCACATTGCTGCAGGTTCTGGTCTTCTTTGAAACATTTATTGGGACTGGTTTTTTATTTAGTAGAGTGTTTATCCTGCAGTTTTTAAACACTTTGAGTCCAGTTGCAGGGAGCTTTGTGACTACTGGTATGAGCTGGGATGGTTCTGCGGAGTCAGCATGCAATGACAAGGCAGAGGAGTGATAGATAAGCATGGTGCTGATGGCAAGGAGTCTAATTTGACTTTATAACAAGGAACTTCAGATCTTTAAATTCCGAATACTGTAAAAAACAGTTTCTTACAAGGCAGGCTGTTCCTGGTGCCATTTTTCTACCCTGGAAGCCATGAATTTTTCCTTACATAAAATTGCCCTCAGAGTCCTTTCTGTTTCCTCTGTGCAGCTGTGAATTTTCTGTCTAACTCCATGGGCTTGCAGGAGAGTGGAAAGTAGAGAAAACATAAAAATCCAGTTCTTTTCAGATACTCTGTTGTGGATTGGCAGGAAGGAGAATTGCCATTGTCTGGTGAACTTAGGAACAGACTCTTAAGTCTGACTAGTAGAGCTACTCTGGGCAATCTCTTCACAGTATAGTCTAGACAGCTTGGAAGACGTTTCCTACTCCTGTAAAACTTGCTTAATGTATAGATTGAACTACAGTCATAAATAAATCTGAATTATCCCAGAGATGCCAAGGTTCTTGCAAAGGGAAGGTATTTCCTAGGTCTGGAAGCCTTTTTTTCTTTCTCATCAGTTGTAATTAATAAAATTATGCGTTACACACTCTGCCATAAAGACCTCGATGAGAAGTGTGTGCAGCTCTCTACATCTTATTCTATTTAAGGGTTACAGAAATAGACTACAGAATGATCAGGCTTGCACTTTGTGCCTGTATTTGTTTGATCAGTTTGACAGCAGGGGCTGTCTGGTGCCTTTTGGCACCAAAACAGTAAAAAAGTTGTGAAGGCGCTGTCATGTCCCTTCGTGCAGTCACCTTGTTTTGTATCTCTCTGTTCAGCTTCATTGTGTTTCTGAGGTACCAGATCTACTATGGTTACCCCATGCAGACATACCTGGAATATCCCATCATCATTGCACAAGGTAATTTTTTTAAGCCATATTTTGGAAATGAGACAGGGCTCATTCAGCGCTCCCAGGCTCTGCATGTAGGTACAGTACTCCACTGCAGTGATGCTGGAGCTGGGGGGAGGAGGGAGTGAACATCTAAAATAAAATTGAATTCTTATAAATTTCATTAAAATAGATGGTCAGGTAGAGGAGAAAGACTTAATTATTACACTGAGTTGCAGTGTAAGTGCATCCTTTATCCAGTACCTCCATGTGGGAGAAAAACATTTGAACACCCCAGACTTGAAGAAAGCCTTCATTTTGGAGCTTGCAGTGTTTTGGACATCAAGCATATTTGAGAGACAGAGCCTGTAAGAAAGGAATTTCCTTGGACATGGTGCCCAGTGGAACTGTCTAGGATTGCATTTGGGTCCCGCCGGTCCCTTCTGTGATGAGCCATCTTTTGTTCATTTCAGATGTCATTCTCCTTCTGTGCATTCTGCATTTCTATGGAAAAACGAAACGAGCTTTGTTCTTTGCAGTTGTGTATCCTTTGGTATCTGGGAGTTTTGGTTTATGTGAGTTGTTTGGTAGTTCTTTGCATAGCAGCTACGTCATCATTTGTTTTGTGCTACTATTGCAAATCATTTTCAGTCACTCCTCAACGTGCATTCCACATTCACGTGCTGATTTCTGGGATCATAGTAAATCTCCACAGGAAGTAAGCTTCATATGTAGCTTTGCTTTAAAAGACTCCTAACTGATAAAGAGTAAATCCAACTCTTAATTTGCATCTTTGCTAGGGATTCAGAGTAGAAATGACAAACCTTTTTTCTTTGATTCCTACCCATGCACGTTATACTTGCTATGATGAAGACAGCAGTGTTTGTTTGTTTTTCTTAAATAGGACTTTGGTTTAAATCTCAAATCTTGTGCTTTGGAGCAGGTTTTGAGAAACTACAGGCACTGCTGGACTGAAGACAGTATGAAAAATAGGAACACTTAATGTTTCAACCAGTGCTTAATATGTTTTATCTGGATTGCATAGTCTGTTACAAAGTTTCAATAAGATTGTTTCCAGATGTTTAAAAAAAATCTAATTCCTCAGGCAGTTTTGAGAACTTTGTATCCTAGAATTTTTAGTGCTATGAAACTTAACTTAATGTAAGATTTTGGGGGGGCTGGTACATGCTAACACTGCGGAAGTGGATAATAGACCTGGCCATGGTAAGTGCTGCATGATTATTTGAAAACAGGTCTTCATATGAAACGGCTTTTTTTCTGGAAGTCTTTATCAGTGAAATCTCTCCTTATATTTGTCATTGGAATAAGGACAACTTTAGCTTTCAAAACAACCAACCAGTTTTACCACTGGTTCTCTCTTCTGTGAGTAGCTGGAAAACAGCAGTGGCAATAAGAGACTCTGTGGTGAAAAAAAAGGTATGTTCTGAGGTAAAGTTGCTAATTGATGGTGCCTTAATTAAAACTAGCAGATGCTTAAGATATTGAAATTCTATTGCCACTTTAGTCCTATGGTCATAATCCCAACCAATAAACCTTTAACACAAGAGGAAGAGAATGGACCGTCAGTCAAAGCATTTGGAACAGGGCATGTGACATAATTTTTTCCCTTTTAGTCCTACAATTTTGCAAGAAAAATACCATCTCAATGCCTACATAGGTTAAAGATGGTCTTTTCTCTTTTCACCAGAAGAGAGGCGGTAAAAATTTAATTGAGATGGAGTTGCTAATGCAAAAGATGATACAAATGGGGATAAAAACTTCTAAGCCCAACTCTAATCCTTACTTGCAAGGGAAATATGGGCATGGCACAAAGGCCTGTGTGGAGGTGCTTTCTACCTGCTGCCTTTGCAAAATCCCCTTTAAAAGAGTGACAGAGTGAATAGTGCATTCCTGTTACTATTTTTTCCCTCCAATTGGACTAATTTTCCACACATTCTTGTCAGTTTTCTCGTTCCTTTATGGTTTGGTTTGCCAGACATAGTGGTAACAGATGGTCTGAATCAACCTTGCTGTTTAGACTAGATCAGTCCCACTTTAGCTAACTTTCATAAACAGTTTTATGGAGCAGGTTGAGAAGCTTTTTTTGCTTCTTTGTTTTTTATTGCATTTGCCTCTATCAAGCATTTACCAGCAACAGTAGCAACTATCGTGCTCTTTGAGCCTCTTGCTGGGCAGGACCTCAGAAATCAGTCCCTTGTTTCTGGCAACTTCCAGTTTTTGCTTCACTGTTCCTTAGAGAGAACCAAAGCACTAGAGTTGCCAAATACTGGCATTTATTCTAAGTGAGAAAGCTAGTCCTGTTCAGATAATACAGTAGCAGAGGTTCTTTCTCTGTTACTTGCTTTTCAGAACCTGTGCACGTTCATCAGTGCAGCCAGTAAGCTGGTTCAGCTGTGGTGTCTCTGGCAGACCAGAGATTCCGGAGAAGTGAGCGCCTTGACCTGGAGTTTGTCTGCATACACCTGTGCAAGTAAGCCATGGGCAACTTGGTGTGAAGTACTGAGTTCTCCTAATGCCTCTTTCCATAGGTATTTACTCAGCCATGATAGGTAAAGATCTTGCCTGAATTTCCCATAGTGCTGACTCCTGAGACTCTTGAAATCTCTTCAAACCAAGTTTTATCTTTGACACCAGTGATAAAATCCAGTGACTTAAAACCCACGTGAATATGGCCAAGGGAACCTGAGTTGAAATAACTGAAAGACTGTCTTTATGAAGAAAAGATTTCCATGTTCTAGGATTTAATAAAATTACTAGTGATCCAGCATGAGAAGGTGCTAACATTTGAGTCAGACAATCAGGCACTGCTAATTTTGAAGTTATCTACAAGTAAGTACACACTTACTGATAAATACCGTTAACTCTATGGCTACATGTAATTGCATTTCTCGACAGAGAATTTAAGAACAGTGATTTGTGGACTTCCTGTGCTAATTCCCCAGTGGTCTGCATGGACAGTTCTGCAGCTATTTGTCTGAAGTGCCAGTGCCTTTCTCATCTTCACAAAACTTGTTTAAAATATTCTCACTATAAAACACAGTGATGCTGGATCTATTTCTACATAAAAGTGGATAATTAGAAGTTTTGGTATGTTTGATGAACAATGTAAATGATTTTAGTCTGATGCAAATGTGAACTAATTAACGTTTAGGTCCATTGTGGGAAGGAAAACCGATTTCCTTGTATTTGCAGAAGGCTGAAAGCAAACACTTGGACATTTACAATGGTTAAGTTGTGCTGACTTGATTGTGGGTGTAAATCACTGTCAACTACTAAAGGAAGGGCTGAACAGAAAGAAAAGCAGTATCCTCTGGCTACATCCAATATGTATCTATGTGATAGATACAGATATAGAAATTCCAGTTATATCTGTGATTTTCTCATTGAAAAAGACCCTTATTAATACATTGTCACTCACCTTTGAGGGCATGATCTCTGAAGCTAAAATAGTGAAGAGTTGGATGTACTAGAATTGAGAATGTCTGTACAGTGTATATTTTCATGCAAGATTACCCTCTGTTGAAAAATAGATATTTCATAATTTTTTAAAATGATAAATCTGTTGTATATGTTCTGCTAATCAGAATTCATTCAATTTACAGCAAGAATATTTACAACTGTGGTGACTACAAATGATCTCGCAGGTGAGTAAAGTTTGGAACTGCCTGCCTTTCCAAGGGAACAGCTGCCACAGTAGTTTTTAGATCTTTTGTAAAACAGCTAAAAGCTCTCAGAAGAACAAACCATGAACGTGGTGGGTTAGCATGGTAAGGGAAGGAGTTGCCAAAAAAAGTAGCACAAGATTACAAATCACAAAAATACATCAAAGAAAAAAAAAAAACCACAAAAAACTGCTCACACTTAACACATGGTACAACTGATCCAAAAGATATTATTTTTTTCAGAAGGCAAAAACACTACAAAATTAATTCTGAAAATAGCAGAGTAAAGCATTAAAAATATTTATTATTTTAATACAAAAAATAAACGTGGTAAAATAAAACTTAAAAACTCTGTAGTAGTTGAATGAGCTTTTCAAATAATGAGTGCTTCCTTTTCATATTGAGGACTTTCTGAGTTAAAGAATTCTTCTAGAAAACTAAAGTTCAGCTTCATATATGAATAGTTTTAGGCACAACATTCAGAATGTTTATGGCAGGCTGAAAATGAAATGGTAGGCTGGTAAGAAACTCACAAAAATTGACTTAAAATATATAATTTGCAGCTGATTTAATTCTGAAGTAAATTTATTTAAAGCTTCTTACCATCCTGAGAAACCTGGAAGAGCTAGGGAGTGCACCAGATTTTTCAGTAAATGGTTCAAAATCAAGACTTGGTGGATGGAAGAACAGTAACAAAATCCCTTTGTGCTTCATCTGGTGGTTCCTTGTTCTTGTTCAAAACCACTGTTTCATCAGAAGCATCATTTGAATGGATTTTATCCTTTTCACGCAGCACAGGAAGGCCGCAGCTTTACAACCATTTCAAGCGGCTCTTTCACTGGAAAAGGAAGGCCCATTTCAATCCCCCATTTCCACCCCCATGTTTGCTGCTTTCTTTTTGCCAGAGTAAGGAGTTCGTGGGGCCATGATGTTAACTGGGTCATCAAAAATTTGGCAGAATGCACGTGCAGAAATTTAGTCAGGGTCAGGTACAGAGCCCACCTTGCCTGCAGCTACACATACACACAGAAGTGAGAGAAGTTCACTGCAGGGAGGGAGGAAACACCAGGAAGGTAAAGTATAAAACCCAGCACCACCCACTTCAGAACAGGGAAGAGACAGCAGCAAACACTGATGCTGTGCTGCTCTAATGGGAAATGTTTCAGGTTAACTTGTAACACTTGTAACATCCACATGTACAGAACTGTCAAGTATCTCATACTGCTGGAACAAAGTTCTGTGTACATTTCTGTGAATATTCCAGTTACCAAATGGGCATTGGACATACCTGTACTTCAAACTGTGGTCTCACAGGTAGAAGTACTGTGCCTATTATGGTTTGTAAAAAGTTAATCAAGGTACTGAAGGTTTATAAAAAGTTAATCAAGGTACTGAAAAACTGATTTTTTTTGGTCAGTTGTCAGATTTTCGTTCATTAAAATCTGACAAACACAAGTATTTCCTGTCTCCCCAAAGTCTACACTTAACAGATGGCAGTAGAGAATAATCCCTTTATTATAAACAACATGTGCAACTCTAAAGGACGTGATCTGTGACTTTGAGTTTAGCTTTTGGTGTAAATAAAAATTTATATGAGGCTACTCACACTTGTAGTACCCTCCTGGCTTTGTTAGAAAATAATTAAATGTACTGCAGTGTATCATTTTCAGATATCACTGCAAGTGATTAAGTGCTAAATACTCTTTTCCGTTGTATTTACACTCAGAGTTTCTGGGTTCCTGAACATAGTAATTGAAACTAATTGGCTGAAAAGAGTTGCAGAATAGGAACCAGCCTGTCTGTGCACCAGCAAAGGTTTACAAAACAACTTGTCCTGTGAAAATAACAGCAGTTGGTTTTTTTTTTTATTAATGCTTACAATATTTCTTTTCCCTTCTAGTTCTCATCCGTTTCATAACCATGCTCATTCTCAATATTTGGGTCACAGCCACAATCCTGCACTACAGGAAGACTAAAAAGACTGATTAGAAGATACTGATTAACACACATATCATTACCATGAAAAAAACCCCATACAATTAAGCTTGAAGAACAGAACAAAGGTTGAGGAAGCTCCCTCTCTCTCTCAAGCCTAATATTTACCCCTTAGCATACTATACTCTGTACAGTTCTTACAGTATAGTACATTCATGCTTACTTTATATAAGAAATAATTCTGATAAGATACTTAATTTAAGCAGCATATTTTTATTGGTCATTTCAGACAAGTTTCACTAATATCACATTTTCTCTGGACTTTTTTACTACAAGGTATTTTGTAATTAGATGTTTATATATTCTTGTATCACTTCAGTACTTTCTGGTTACATATAAGCAGTTTTCTTCAGTTATACATGATCAGTTTTGTACCAACATACCGACTTGTCTTTCTTCTGCAAGACTGAAAAACCACAACAGATGTTCGTCTTCTTGCAAGCAACTCAGTTCGACATTAACTATCTGTATTTTAGGATGAAGAAAATCTGAGTCAAGGCCCAATCCAAAATAAAGTTCTAAATGTCTTTTACTAAGTCACAAATCCAGTTGGGATTGTAACACTTACATGCAACACTTAAATAGTACAATTTATACAGCTGATACAGGATACCCTTGGTCACTTTCTTCAGTATACCCAGTTTTTCCTGGATAAGAGCAGAAACTCAACTATGAATTCTTCTTTTTCAACCTGAGCTCTCATTCACTGAACATACTGTTTTGGGAACATCAGAGACTAGAATGTATGGGAATTAATGAAACCGACCAACAGCTAAAAATGGTGTTCAAGCAGAAGTTCCTGAACCCATATCCAGAATCCCCAAACACAGTGGCAGTGACCCGGCTACATGTGCACCTTGATGCATCTCAGCAGACTCATCTCCCATGGTTGGTCAGTTTTTGGTAATACTGATCTGTGGTTCCTTAGTTTTGGGCCTGTCTGTGCTAAAGTTCACTTAAGTTTTTACTTCAGAGATTCTAATCAATTTGCAGTACTTACAGTAAAATAGGGCAAAAGAGTATTCTTGAGAACTATTAATGGGATTTAGCCTTTGGGAGTAATGCCTTCTCAACCAAAAGTTACATTAGTAATCACATATCTTGCCTTCATTTCTCATTACATTCTCAAAAATGAAAAGATATGCCATTTCAAGAGACTTCTTACAGTATTCTGTTCATTGGCATGTAAAAACCAAGGCACCCTTGATCCTGACACTCCTGAAACTATGGGAAGACTGCAGTGACTGCATTTGAGGCAGGTTTTCTTTGCAACGTGCTAAACTGTGGGAGTGTGGAGGAGCAGAATGTGCAAAAGCAGATGTTTCCACCAGTGAACACTCAGCAATCAGACTGGGGCTTTCACCAGCAGCTGCTTTGTTTTTAGAGTGGGAAGGGGTGTGAAGAGGTGTGCCTGTGGACCTACATTTCACATATCTCATATTATTGAGGGCAAGTCAAAGATGAGCATTTTTAATGCTACAATAAAAAATCTAAATCTTTCTGTGTTGGTTGAGAGATTAATTAAACATTCTGTTACTGATTTTACTGAAGCTGTGTAAACTATCTGAAGTGGTCTATATGGTGGCAGGTGGCAAGTGGTACATTTTCCAGGTGGTATTAATAAATGCTATTCTTCAAGACTGATAATGTCATTCTTACAGTTAATTTTCATTGCATTTGATTTTTTATTCTGTTTTCATATATGGAGAGAAAATGAAATATTCATTACAAGTCATAAATGGGCAGCTGTCACCCTAATTATTTGAAGCATCAGACTGAATATTACCCTGTCAAATGCTAAAGAGCTCCAGCATCTTAAAATGAAAAAAAGAAACGCACTTAGTTTTTTTTTTAATTAAAGCCTCTTGATAAAGAAAGGTTTGTATGGAGTTCAAACCTTCTCTGTCATTGACATATTTCATACTCCTGAGTGATGCTACAGCAAAGTGAAGCTGCTCCATTTTTGGTTTTAGAATCAGCAACTCAATTTGGTTTTTTTCATCATAAAATGCTGAAAACGCATTTAAGAAAGTTCTTAATAGGATACTTAACATATTTTGAGTAAATTTCCTTAGAAGCCTGTGTGGAAAAAAAAAAACAAACCTGAGGAAAAGAAACAAAGCTGGGTATTTAATGAGCTAAGGTAAAGTAATTTTGTGGACTTGGAAAGCTGGACCATGAGTTCTCATTCAAGCTGCAAGAGATATGGAACAAATCAGACAGTAGCAGTTAATATTTACACACTTTTTTTTTCATCCCAGAGAGTAATTTCCTTGCCTTTTGTAAGCAGACATACATTCCAGTTCCAGGCAAGCCCCAGGAAAGCACAGACCCTGTGTTTTCCAGTACGTAAAGCATAATCTTCTCAGTGGCTGGATTAAAGGCAGCAGCTTTAGACAAGATACACAGGGAAGATAAATCTTGTTAAACTTGTCATTCATCAGTATCAGGGTGGACACAAATTGTTTGCTATGTAATGCAGCAGCGGGCCAAAGGCAGGCAGGATTTATTGCAGTGGGTGTAAGCCAGTAAGCAACTTGTATTCAGGGGGCTGGAAGTAATACAGCTCCATTCACAGATGCTGTACGAGTGTGGAATTACACACGCGGTGTCTAATTGCAGCAGTTCACAACATGCTCACAAGGTAACACACCCTGTCCTGTCCTGGCTGACAAAACCTGGGCCCTGTCAGGGCTTTCAAAAAGTTTGTTTCCTTTCCTGTGAAAAGACAAGCTGTGAATTCCAGTACAGTCCACTGAAAAGCTCCAAATATCCCCAGGTGTGAATATGATGAACTGTGACTGGGCATTTGGCAACAGGTAAGCTACAAGCTCACTTTAACTGCATGAGAGAGAAAATATTTACCAGGAGACTTAATATCCAGAGGAAGGAATGAGGACATGACTCCAGAGACGGCAGGCTGCACGTCTGAAAGCGAGGACGTGAACAGTGTAAGATGCACAGTTTACTTTTTCTGAACTGTCCTCAGTGAACAGGAACATCAAACACACGTTCAAACCCATCCTCTGGGCCTCCCTAACACAAGGTATTCTGTGCAGAGTAAAACTGTGTGGACAAAGATGTGTTTCTGTGTGTTACTCTAATCCAGCACAGGATGCCACTGCTTGGACTGCTCAGGAGTCCCCGTCCCTGCCTGACCCCCAAGCCTCTCTCACTGGCTTATGCTGTGCACGTAGTTGCTCCCTTTTCTGGCTCTGCTAATCTAATCTATTAAAGAGCAGAGAAAGACTGGGGCGGGGAGGCAGCAACACCCCCAACTGCTGCAGCTCCTAATGTCGATTTTAGTGCAGTTTGACTCTTTGGAGGAAGTAATTCACAATTAGCTGAACAGTCCCAATCAGCTTAAATCTTGCAGAATGGCTTAATTCACATCTTTAAATGAGGTATCCTCCACCAAACAATCATTATTATTCAGGGACATATGTAAGGCAGGGAGAGGTGGGAAGGAATTAACCCCTGAGAGCCCACAGGAGGAACTATTATAAATGAATATATATGGATGTGGAGATCAACTCAAATAAGGTAGTTTCCCAGCCATGTATTTTCTATGACGATAAATAATAATTACTCCCCTCCAAATTTTCTTCAGGCTGGTTTGTTCCACTCTCTTCTGAATTCTTTGATATTGGAATTCATATTTATGTATAAAGCAGAATGTAAAATGTTGCCTTCATCACTAGCAATGCTCTGAGGATGTCTCAGTTTGGAAGGTGAGGAAGCAAAAAAAAAAAAAATCTTAAGGTGTTATTAAGTTCTTGATTTGTACTGAATTTTAATTTGCTTGATTTTGAACCAGAGTTCTCCAGGATGCTTCAGAGTTCTCGGAGATGATGGCTGTTGAGGTCAAACAGGTGTCCAGGAACCACAGTAAACATCACCTAAGAACCTGACAGCTCATCACTTGAGATGGATCCAATTGCAAGAACTCGGCAGTCTCACAGACCAGAGTCCTCATGGACCTCAGGTGTTTCCTGCCTGATGGCAAGATAGACATACAGACATTTTCGAGTTAAAGATGTCAACTATTCCATTCTGCACTGGAAGTGGTTTGGGGCAAACATCATCTCTGTCTTGAAAAATAACCCAGTCTTTGGACCAAGGGTAAAATAAGAGGATTTTTAAATTATACTTGTGATGAAATTTAATTGAGGATACCTGAGAGACAATTTAAATACTTGTCACAATTTTGTTAACTACCTATTTTGTTTCATTATTTCAGCTTGTAACTGGTTTGAATTGTCAGTAGCCTAAACAAGTACTTCTGTGCATTATGTGGTATCACTGACTCACGGAGAGGGAACTTTAAGAGGACAGACATCTTGTTTTATCTGTCAAGTATTCTGGAAACTGATGTAAAGAACTGAACCTGCACCACCCTAAAATGTGACAAGAGAAGTTAGGTAATGATAATTCTGATTCAAACTGAATAGTAACATGGCTCCATGCTGAAAATCAATTCTACTTACCACCTTACTGTAATTGCAAGTCATCAGTTGCATATGCCTGCTCTGGGATGTACAATTATTCTGCTTTGGAATTTGGAGGCTCTGGCCAGCGGTAACAAGATGCTGACCTGACTCATATTATAAGAAAATCATAAATGGAAGAACACACATCCTTATGCCTCAGTGTCCTCCTGTCATGTAAATCATGACTTTAATGAAGCACAAATTGAGCTTGTGTAAAGCATATTTTAAGTACCCAGCTACTGCAAACAAATTCTTTCATCTTTGAGCAACTGGTCTGACTTTCAAGAGTGACTTATCTTGTGAGATTTTAAATTTTTTTCCATGATATGCACTGTTGGCACAACTTTCAGTCCTCATGGACTCTCTGAGCTCAAGGATATTTTCCTCTCTCGGCTTTGTTGGTTTTTTTAAGCTTGCATGTTTGCCCACCTTCCAGTAATACAACTCCCACTGTTGTAGCTCTGAACAGGATACAAAGTATGCATGGGAGTTTCCTTACTGTATTTATCTAGTCCTTCCATCACTCCAGAGGGGAGCAATGGCTACACAGATCCTACTGAATCTACTTGGCACCCAGGACACAAGGATTGTAATATGCTGGACAACATCATGAAGACACATGAGGCCATGGGATCCAGCAAATAAATGCAAGTCCTGAAGCTGCAGCCAGACTTGCACCCAGCTGCAAGACATGCTTTGAGAGCCTACTGGAAAGTGGAACACAGCCGAGGCAAGAGACACCACCAGGGCAAGCAGATATGAAATAAGGCTCAGACAGTGGGGCTCCTGGCTCCTTCAGCCTCAAAAAAGTTATTTAATATCTCAGATACCTCCAAAAAAACATTTCCATCAGTTCACTTGTAAATAAAAAGTAGCACATATCCAAGGCAATTCAGTGCCTGAAAGTCTAAGCAGTTAGTGATGCAAAAGAAAAGGACTGGCAATGTTCTCACAAGCCTGACGTACTTATTGGGTGGCCATGCTTACCAAGTGCTGCAACAGCATCCTGGGCAAAAAACACCCCAAGAGCAATGGCAAGTGACAAGAACTAGATGACCTATGAGGCCCACTGGTACACAATGTAAGACTGTACAAACAGGGTCACACCTCTGAAAAACACAGAAAGCCTCGACCTCAAAATGGGGCAATAGGACCAAAGCATCACATGCAGTTTGTCTTGGCTGTGAAAGCATTTCTATGTAGCTCCTCCAACAAATGAAATTACTGCTCTCTCTGCCCTATCTTTTTAGGCTGACATTGTGTATTTCCAGATTTCTTTAAGGTGTGCAGGACTGCATACATTTGTAACTTTGAAATTTCACTACTTTTCACTGTGATTTTCCTTTTGAAAGATCACTTTTCTCCTGCAGTCAAACCCAAGGCTTCACCCTTGCATTAGCAAGCCGTAACTTGTCTTTCTTACCTTTATAACACAATGCTTCCTTCCTACAAAGGGGCAAAGACTCCAATTGCCAATCTTCATTAATAAGGCCTGGTAATCAGCATCCCTGTGCCAATAAATTACAGTTCCTCTGCATCCCCACTTCTTGGAGCTGTGGGTTTACAGTGAGATTTTCCATTCACTGCAGTAGTTTCTGGGGACAACTAGTCTCAATGTGTTAAGCCACACTGCTCTTTTCAGCCACATACATTTCAACAGACTCATCTCATTTCTCAGATGAGAATGTCTGAGTATATTCCTGTCCACTTTAAAGGCAACTTCAACAAAGAACACAAATTAGTTTCAGAACTATTCCATCAACATCTTTTACAGAGATCCAAAAGAAGACTTCTTCCCACTCTTATGGAGGATACTTCAAAGCAGTAGGCAAAACCGCATGATCCTTGGGATGCTGATAAAACCCTAAGTGGTTTAGAAGATAATCTTAAAAATAACAAATAATGTTTTCAATTTAAAGTGTACTATGTGCAGAGATGACCGTCCATAAAAAACTGTAATGCACTGAAAAGGCACCAAGCCTGTCAGAGTTCAAGGAGTGTCTGGATGATGTTCTTAGTCATATGGTTTAGTTTTAGGTAGTCCTGGGAAGAGCAGGAAGTTGGACTCCATGATCCTTGTGGGTCCCTTCCAACTTGAGATAGTCTCTGATTCTATGATAAAATAAATTAATCCTTATATCAATGCTGAGGCAAACTATCCAGGAATGCGGAAGAGACTGAAATACTCAAGTTCACTGAAGTGGACCATGTACTGTTATGCTCTCCTGCCTCAGAAACAGAATTAGGAGGCACTAAGAGTTTGTAAGAGCAATGCAGGTAAGAAGTTTGCTTTCATATACATTCTCCCTTTTCACAGCAGCATCCCAAATATCGCCTCACAAGCACAAGATGGGTAAAGGCACTTGAGACCAAAATATATAAATCCTCTTTCAAGGATGATTCTCTTAAAAATAGAAGGGAAACTAATAGATTATAAAATTACAAACATAAATGCTCAAATTTCTCATGATCACTTGAGAAACTAAAGAGAAAAACCATATAATTTCACTGGCAGCTTTCCTGACCTTGGTGCCTTCAGAGAGCCACTGAATGCCTGTCAAAACGCAGGAGGTTCAGTGCCTTCAAGAGGTAGTAAGAGATCTGGACACTTGCAGTGGAATTTCAGTGATGTTTTTAATCCGCCCCTGTCACTGACTGCTGAGATCCATGGGCCTCTTGCGTGTTTCCGAGTCCTACGTGGTATGTGATTCTGTGTCACATTTTGGTTACAGCATCAATCATGCTCAGAAGCATAAGAACCACAGTTTTCCTCTAGTAAAAGCAGACGTGGTGCTGGATTGCTGGCAGTGCTGGGAGGGGCTGCACTTTGGCAGGAACCACTAGATGTAGGGAATTGCAGCACGCAACTAGGACAGAAGTGGAAATCTCATTGCAGAAAGGTCTTTCTGACAACTGACACGGTAACTCCAATGGGATCTTCCTGTCCAGCTTCTCTGCTGGTGATTGGGAACTAAAGAGCAACTTCATTACAAGTGTCTGGAGCTTCTGGATCCAAGCGTGACCCCTGATTTTTCCAAAAGGTTAATCTGCAGCTTGGCTATGCTGCTTGTTTACTCTTGTGAAACAAAAGGACTTGCAGTGAAAGAATTTTCTATAGATAAATCATTCAGGCCATAAAAACGTCCTGTTTGCTGGCACAATCCTGCTACAAAATGAAAGTGTTTAAACATCAGTGGTTTTCAAGACTAATATTCCTTAGTTCATGAATATGCCCTTCTGTCAAAAATGCTAGAAGGTCACCACTGGACAATAAGGAAACAGCACAATCTCCAGGAAATGGCATTTAAGAGTTCTTGAGCTTCACAGCAGGACAAGTGAGAAGAACAGAAGAGCAGCTTTGCCTTTTGTGTCCTGTGTACAAATCAAGGTTGGTACACATCATACCACTGGCCTTGAGGAATCTGTGCCAAATTAGCCCTGCTCTGAGGTCGAGGTCAGAGCACAGCACCTCCAGTGCTCCCTCAGCCCATACTGCTCTACGACACCATCACAGTACAGCCTGCTGTAATGTATGAACTGTGGCCAGTAAATACTACAATATAGTACATTTCCTGAAATGTCAGGCTTAACAGGGTCCCAGGGATTCACAGTAAATGAGGGCAGGCCAGGGAGAGAAAAGTGCAAAGGATCCAGCCCCAGCAGTGGAAGAGCTGCCAAACAGCTCCCCTGGAGTCTGCACTCCCTCCTCACACAGGCTTTGCCCTTGCCTTTCCCATGTCTGCCGCAGTAGTTGCCTCTATATTTAAATTCAATTAATTACCAGCTTCTCAAGTTCAGGAACTATTTTACCTTACTCAAATAGTTTATTTAAAAATATATATATAATATTCTCCAATTCAGAAAAGGATAGAACTTCCCACAATGTAACATTTTTATATATATATATATAAAATATTTATGCATTCAGTGAATGGAAACAGTTTTACTGTATACATTTTTAATGTTGTTCTCTATGCATATCTGCATTACCTAAAAATATACCGTACTTCTGTAAATCAAAACAAGCAGGGAAAAAACACTGTAGCTGTGCGCTGGGTTAGAATACCTAATAAAAAATGATATGAAAGTTTTAGCTTCGATTTTAAGAACTCACAAACAACATTTTACTTTGTGAGTGCATAAATAGAAGACTGAATACATTCTGGCTCTGTTAAGCTGAACTGTAGTAGAGGTTACAAAATGTAAATATATTTAATAATTTTCAATATTTCAGTGTTTCCAAGTCCACTTTTCATGATAGTGTTAAATAAATCATGGTCCTATCCTTCCAAACATTTCAACACTCTTTAAAAAACAAAACAAACAAAATTTTAAAGTGAAATGTCCTCCTTCATTGAAGTGTTAGATCATATTTTAAATTACTGCACTCCCACACAATATTTTATATATATATATATTTTAAATATATATATATATTTATATATATATAAAGAGACCAAATAGGAGACTACATTTTTTACTGTCAATATGTTTAACATCGCATACTGTAGTTGTATAAAACATGCATTTTCTGGGATAATTATGAACACATCATGAATGAGCCCACATAAATTATATTTTTTGTACAACTCCAAGTTAAAAAAAAAAGTCAGATTAAGTGCCTCTGAGGCCCTTTCTTCCCAGCTATCAGTTCTCAAAACACACTACTGAAATATTTATCTATGCCTACAGCTATGTGCTAGAGAACCAGATTAAAACTTTAAAATACATCTACAGTATGTTTTACTTTTCTTAAAGTTTGTGACAGTCCTTGGATATTGTGTTGTGAAATGTAAAAATAGTCACAGATTCTTTTTCTTTCCAGAAATAAAAAAACCCACATCTAGGAGAATATGCAAAAACAAGGCAAAATGAAGTTTCATAGCACTTAATGAGGGTTAATACAAATCAATAACTAGTATTGAGGTTCGTAAAACAGGCTGGATGAGCAGTTACATGTACAAGCAAATGGTCTGGTAATTCCAATGCTCTCAGACATTGTTTCTGTAACCAAAACTTCTCCACCCTTAAAACCAGTCGATATACATTCAAAATAGGCTGACACTGATATACTTACTAGGTGTAAAAATAGTGCACTATTTTTTCTGCCACAAAGCAAAATTGCATTCTAAGAGCTGATAAACTTTCTTTTTCCTTAAATAGAAAGAATGGGCAAAAAACCTTGAAAACAATTTAAATTAAGGCAATTAGACAGGTAAAACAGGACTGCCCATGATGACGAATAGCTGAAACTAGTATATACTTCAAACCTATACTAGCTGCTGAACACTGACATGCAGCTTCTGATAGACGTGTATGAATGATATAAACTTCAACAGTATGGCTTTATACAAGTGCATAGTTGCAACTGCAATAAGTAACGGTATCTGATTAATAAGCATAAAAAAATAAAGTGGAAAGATTTTTAAAACCCTCTTGCAGTATTACAGTACAATATATATACACAGTATAATGGTCACTTCTTACAGATGCAGTCTATATCACTATGGTGGATCTTGCTCCGGTTCTACTTGCAGACGTGCTGGTGGCATCTTTACAAAAGCTGAGAAGTCAGTTTCTTCCTTTTAATATTCATTCCTCTCGATCCTTTTATGAAATGTAGTGTATGCGTCTTGCCAAGAAAGCTTTTGTGGAACAGAGTTTAAAAGGTTACCTAACATATCCTTTTACTATTTGCCAACCATTCCTCAATTGATCAGTCAGTTGGGAGAATACAGGAAAACCCTCAGAGATTAGTAATTTATATTGCAGCAAAAATGTAAACCTCTGATATATATAGCACAATCTCTCAGGAAAATATATATTTTTAATATATTTTGGGATATGTTTCAGTCTTGCTGTAATGGGAAGAAAATTATCACCTTGAACTGTGTCTGCATTCACGGAAAGCAGTTAGCTGAAAAAGAAGCAGGAAGTTTGATCAGTAAATGCAACAAATGTAAATCTGACAAAAACACACTTCTTCAAAGTCTTAATTTAAGATGGGCTCATCATCATACTTGGGAGAAATGCATCCAACAGCATTGTTACTTAAGGACAACACATCCTTAGGCATTATAATCCCAAATCAGTTAAACCCCTTTATAATATATGAGGGTACAATATGCACAATGTAATAGTCACTTCTGACTTTACAAGATTAGTGATTTGTAAGCTTTTAATACAGAAAGATGCAGTATATTTAATTAACACAATGCTTGTTACTGTGAACACTAATCCAGTTAATTCTAGAGGAGTTGGTGTCTCTGTCCCCTGAGCACAGCTGAGGTGCAGCCCCAGTGCTGCTGCCATCACCATTTTATATGGCTGAGACAAACCTTACATACTATTTGAAAGAATTCTTATAGGATTTTTTCTGTGTAAATGTTAAGATTGCATCAACATATAAAACGATTAAACTGAGATCTGTAAAATAGGAAACACTATTTCCAGTACATTCACAATTAAGCTGTGGGACAAATTAAATCACTGCAACAGCCGGATCTTTTCTAAAGCAGTCAAGGAAACCACATCACAGAAGCTGCAAAGCTCGCTTGTTTACATAGTTTTCAAATGCACGGTTAGGTACCCAGAAAGCACAGCACTGCAAAGGAAAGCCAAGTCAAATTCACTTCAGAACACAGGTAGAAAAGCAAAATGCAGAACTCCAGTGATTTCATGTCTGCTAGCCATAGATCTGTCAGTATATATTAAAAGTTTAAAAATGGAAAGTATTTGTAAATGCTAAGTCTATTTCAGCTAAACATCCAACTGCTACCATCTCCCTTTTATTCTCTGAATACTCTCTGCTGAGGTTAGAAGTATTAGCATTATAGATCAGCAACGACTCTGACAACAGCACAGTTTTTTTCCGGCAGGCAGACATGAATTTGGAAAAAAAGATTTAAAATTAGAAAAATGAAAATACTGACAAAGGCAACAACTTGTTCTAATGAAAGTGACTCCTCTAAAAGTTTAATATCATGAATGGAATCTCATTTTTACTGTTTAAAATATTAAAATGAGATCTTGTATTTTCTCTGCTTTAAGAAACAAAATCCAACATAGCATGCTGTATTCAAACAAATCCATTCCTCTCTATTTAGATTTACCCCTTATACTTCTTCAGAAATCAAAAACATCGTCATCATCATCACCATCAATATCATCAACATCATCAAATGACCAATCCCAGTCCTTAAATGCCAGATCAAGTAATCTGCAACAGGAGGGTTTGATGTTTAATGAGTGTCACACTTCTGTGAAAGACTTCCAAATTCCTTTTGTTATCATTAAACCTTTTTAACTAAAAGACTATTTTAGGTAGGTGGGTTTGTTCCTTTGCCTATCATGGAATATCAAGATTCAGTTAGTGTTCATGTAAGCTAGGAATATATTGTACTCATCAAAATTTCATCTCAAAACTCATTCAATTCAATATAGAACACTTACCGTATTGATTTTTTTTTCCCAAAATATTTCAGTAGGAAAGACCAACAAGTACAATTTTTAAAATTAGCTGCTTTTTGTTTTGCTGCTGTTCTTACTGACTTAGGTGGTTTTATGCTCTCCTTCTATCCCTTTCCAGACAACAATGCAAAGCTAACAATTTTTCTAAGAAAATTAAGTAATTTTGATTGCTGTACAGAACAGTGAAAAGAAACCTTCCTCTGAACATACAAAATACAGCATGATTTTACTGTATCCCAAATACAGGGTGATTACTCTATGCAGCTATTCTGTAGCTCATGGCTTAAATCTAAGCAATGCCAAAAAAGAGGATATATCAATTTGTTCTCTGGGCCTCGCTGTCTGTGCTCCTTCTATGGTCACTATAGAACAAAGAAAGCAAGCAAAGCAAACTCTGTCAGCAAATGAGTCATTTTACTTATTTGAGACATCTGTTTTGGGATGGAGTGAATCACTGTCTAGAAGCATTCATCTCTTTCTGTAGTTACTGAAGGATCTTAGACAAATATCTTAAGTAGTAACTTCTCAACTGCTATAGCTACAAGTCTAGTTGTCTCTTCAGTGAGCTCAAGGGACTTTTAATCAGGATTATATGCCAAGCATAGAAGGCAGACATAGAAACCTTAGTCTAACAGAGCATCAGTGTAAACAAGCTATACTGTTTAATATAGTTAATCACATGCTCTAACCAAAATGGGTTTCAGGAGAATTTGGATTTTCAGGTTTTTAAAGTTTTAGACTATTTAAACCTTTAAATGTGATATAGTCCTGAAAAGGCTCAATATTCATTTGTTATATGAACTCACCTATAAAATTAAAGAATTAATTAGAAATTAAAATATATTAAAGTTGATTTTTTTCAATTTGCAATTATTGTTTTGGCATGATCCAACAGACAGTTAAACAGAAATTATATGGTCTGTAGGAAAATCTGGTTTGCCCTTTCTTAAATCGTCACAAAGAACAACAGCCATGAAAACGTTGGAGAAACAATCACTATGTGAAATTCCTAGGAGGGACAGCATTTTTAGGACCATGCAGCTTGGAAGGGACCTCAGGAAGTTTCTAGCTCAACCTCCTGCTCAAAGCAGCCACAAGCCCAGCCCAGGATGCTCAAGGCCTCGTCCTGTCAGGTTTTGAAAGCCTCCAGGGATGGAGCCTGTCCAACCTCACCAGCCTGCCTCCCTGCACCGGTTTTTCCTTCTATCCAGCTGGAACATCTCTTGGTTCAAGTTAGCCCCTTGTTTCTCACCCTCCCACCACGCAGCATTGCAGAGCCTGGCTCTGTCTCTTGGATACCTTCCCCAAAGGCCGGGGCAGGCTGCTGTGAGAGTCCCTGGAGAGATCCTTCATCCGGGTTGAACAAGCCCAGCTCTCTCAGGCACCTGCTCTGACCATCCTGGTGGCCTCTGCTTGGTCCTTCCCCGGTGTGTCAATGTCTGGCTGGAATCTGGGGGCTCAGACTCAGAGGCACTATCTTGCTGCAGACTTTGGAATGAACAGAGGAGGATAACCTCTTCCTTTAATCATCTGGCTGTGCTCATTTCAGCGCAGTCCCAGAGCCTGCCCTGCTGTCAGGACCCACTGCTTGTCCCCAGCCACTCAATTCCCATCTTCATTCTTAATAAAGTTCATAAAGGAAAATTAATTATTCCATATGGTATGCCCTTCCACAAAAGCCTCATAGAAGCACCAGTCAGATATAAATTGGCCATAGCAATTACAGTAATTTATGAGTATGTGGTTTCTAATTAAAGGTGTGTAAATCCATACAAATTTCCACTGGTTTGACAGACCTGCATTAGTAACGTGACAGGTGACATGACCTCAGAGAGCTACACTTTTCATCTGTTAGGTACATTTGCAAAGCTAACTTGGAAACTTAACTGAAAACATAAAATGGTTTACATACAAAAATATTCATCCTCCCCCTTTTTCCACCAGTATAGAATGACAAATACTGTGGTATTAAAGCATTTTGTACAAAAGGTCATGGAGATTGAAAAAAGGATGTTGGAAGGAGAAAAATTATTTTCAGAACATCTAAGAATAGCTACTGAAAGAGAATGAGAATTTATAATAGACCTCTACATGTTAACAGTAAGCAACAGAATAACGCCACTAAATTAGACTGTAAACACTGTGCAGAAGAAAAGCATTCTGCTTGTCCCCCAAGCTGCCATGAATGTTTCCCTGATTCGCGCTTCAGTCCTATCACTGATATTTTGGTTAGTTTTGCACAAAAACACTCTTAGTAATGGGTTCAAAAAAAGTGATTAAAAACCTTTTTTCTTCATGATTATAATGAAAAAATCTATTAATTTAAAATCCAAATTATGAGGTCTAACTCTCTTTTAAATATGTAAATTAAATCACCAGAAATTAGACTGCATGAAAGTTAGGAGGAAAGTGAAATTAAGTTACTTCAAGTCCTTTCACTGTGCATTTCCACCCATTAAAATACCAGTATTTGTTTAAGATGTAACTCTTTGCAGCATAAGGATGTTCTGGAGTAACAGCAGCATCACAGCAAGCACTTTCCTGCATTCCCCCCTGTACTCTGGTAACTCAACCAACCCTGTTCTCATCCAGCCAGCCAGTCCGGTCACAGACATAAGGACAGCAATCCTGTCCAGCCACTGCCACATTACCTCTCTGGAGAAAAATGTTAAGCCTTTGCTGAACTGTCCATTGCTGCTGGAATACTGTAACAAACAAAACAAGTCAGGCCAACCTTTTCACAGGCTGCCAGCAGCTGCGGACTGATAGAAGCACAATATTAGCCAGTGCTGCAGGTCACGAAAAAAGTACACTGGAAGAAAACCAGAAACTCTGTACTGTGCAATCACATAAATGGTACCTGCAGAATGCTTTCACTTCCACAGTATAGTAAAGGATTTTGCTCCTTAAAACTGATCCCGGGATAGATTAGGTTTTTTCCCCAAATCAGAAGAGCTGGGTAAGACTATTCTTTTAGGAGTCATAAGACACAAGCATGAGCCATTCTAGGCTGAATAAGGAATTGAAACCAAATTCTCTCACCCTCTGGGTAAATTACTTGACCAAATAGCGACCCTCTGCCTCTCTTCCAAAAAGCACAAGTGATGGTCAGACAGGTGCCTGCCACTACAGCAACAGGCTCCACACTGTGGAACCCATGTGGGCAGAGACACAGAAGCGAGATTCATCCACACCAGATGTGCGCTCCTTTCATACACTAGGACAAGAACCCTGGCAAAATTCCTCCTAAATGGAGTCAGACACAGAGATACATACATTTGGCCAGATGAAACACACATGAACATACAAATCTCCAATCAACTGTCTAACTTCAGAGCAGGGCAGGAATTTAAACATGCCTCAAAACCGAGCAGTAAGAAATGAAACACTGGTATTTTTTTTTGTGACGTGTAAGCCTTCTAGTCTGCTTTTTGAAGGCACCTAATTCTCTCTAAGGTTCATCAGAACCACAAGCACCTAACATCACTGCTCAGCTTCAAATCAGGTACTGTAGTGGCCACACTGAAAATTTTTAAACTTTTTTTTTAATCTTCACACCCCTTCTGACTTTTTGCCCAGTTAAACCCCATTTTCCCTACCAGTTCACAGGAACTATTAGGCCACAGATGAAGGTACAAGTTCCATCTGTTACAGGTAAGAGCCATAGGATATATTATCAACATGGTACGGTTAATAAACAGGTAGTGCGAGGTCCTTCAAACAAGGTGGCTCTTCTTGTGGACCTTCTTGTAACTTATCTGAGGTTTATAGAAGATTACATGCTAGATTCACACATCACTAGTCAACAACGTTTGTGGTCAATTATTCTTATCAACTTATATGACATTAATTGCAGTAAAACGTTTAAAGCAGTAACTTAATAGCAGCCCTTGTGTCACCTTGGTTTGTTTGGAGGAAGCTGTCGACTTGGTCGTCTGATGGACTGGTTTGGCTGTACCTTCATGGAAGTTCTGGGAGAAGATCGAGCAAAGGGGTCTGGTGCTGGAGGCTTCTTGGGTATTTTTTTAACCAATCGGCTCACCCATTTTTGCTGTTCTTCCGTAGAATTAGCTAACAGTAGTAGATTCTTTGCCGTAGAAATATCATAGTACACTGTAATAATAATTTTAAAAATAAAAATTAATACTGTTATTATTCTTAACATGTCCCCACATCAAAAATTAGTTGTCAGATTACAGTACTCTCAGAGTCAACAGAGATAAATCAGCAGAGAAATCAAAAGAAAATGAACCAGATTTTGCCAAATTAAGTTTCCTGGCTGGTAGTAGTGCCTCCTCCTTCTATTTAGAGAGTAACAGCTTAGTGCTATGGAAGAGCGTGTGCCTGAGCCCAAAAAATTACACAACACTGAGTCACAAGGAGTAACCTTCACCAAACGCCATCCCTTCCGCAACACCCACTAACACAAAGGGCACAACACACGGTGTGAGCAGCCTTACAAGCACCCTGCTTTACTGCACGAGGCTGCCACCACAACAGGTACAGAGGTATCATGGCCACATGCCATTAAGTCACAGCAGTGAGTGACCCTCACAGAGACACCCTTAGAAAGGTGCTGATGGCTACGTATTAATAAAAGAAAAACTGACCTGTTTACGTTTAGTTGGTGTCAGACCATGACTAGAATCCTCTGACCTACCAGAATGCCTTGTGACTCCAGCACCATATGCATATTCAGATACTTGCTATTTACCTTTGCAAGGGGCTATAATCTCTTCTTTTTTATCCATGTGATCTTTGTGACATTTGATGTGGCAGCGGCGACATTCCAGAGCAGGAGGAGGTTTAAACATATGCCACAGTGGCTTCATACAAGCTTCACAATTGGTTGGAAAGTGGTAAAGAGTAGGTATAAACTCATGTCCTTTGTGACAAATGTAATTTGATTTCTCTCCCATGGGCTCCACAGGAAATTCCTGTTCCTTTTTGCTCTCTCCTTCATTAGCATATAGAATCTAGAATCAAAGTAAAATAATCTCAGTACTCCTAGATGGCAAATATAAATTCAGACTCATTATCTTAGTACAAAGATTGAAGAATTACACCAGAAGTGATTTTTCAATAATTTTTTAGTACATATTTCATTAGACAATATTTTTGACAATGTGTGAAATATCATGTCTGTTACACTAGAAACACTAATTTATTAAAGAATACCTGGAATATCCTAGGAATTTCCTTGGAATCTGCTCTGTACACATCAGTCTGAGTGACTGGTCGGACATGGAACAGTTTGCTATAGGAAATGATTTCAATAAGGACAAAAATGAATGTTACCAAAATGATAAACGCAAGTTGACAGATTAAATTAGGATACACATTAAGACTTAGAGCCATTAAAGATTTGTCAGTATAAATTTCTAATCACTTGATCCAGTCCTATTTTTCAACCCTGCACATGAACTCCCAAAAACCCTAAATAAAAAGAACTCACAAGCATCCAGTTATATTTGAAAAAAAAAAAAAACAGCACTGATAAATAAAACCACCATCATGTGACTTTAATGACTGCTGGCAGCTTTCTAACACAATCCTCTCCCCATGCTCCAACCTCTAAATAGATACATTCTGCATTTATTAAGAAAATTAATTAACTATACAACCCATCTGTAAGGACATGTTATAAGAGAAAACACTGAAAATTATAGCCTCTCTGCTACAGTTCTCTAATCATGTTTTGCTCCCATGCGTATGTGAGGAAGGTCTAGCTGAGCTCGTGGGAGCAGTTCAGTTACATCAGGCTCAGTGGAGTTCCCTGGATCAGTCTGAGCACCGTGCTGCTGCTGCACCAGTGCCTACAGCAAACCCAACTCTTTCCCACAGTGGATACCCTAAGGGCCCAGCTCTGTAGTTCAAATTAAAAAGGTAATGCCCCGTGTGACGTTGTGATCCCAGATGGGACCTCAAAAGCCTTTGGTCACAATCTTTTTGAAAAAGTTCACCTGCAAATCAGAAGAACGAATCACACATGGCAGTACTTACTCTATATCCAATACCATATAGGGATTAGATTGTTCTTTATCTTGTTCGCTGTCATAGAACAGAATTTTCTTACTGCTTACAATTACATACTGTTAGGAGACAGAAAAGGATAAAATATACATTTAATCCAGCTCATCACACAGGTCAAAGATGTCACAGCAACTACCACAGATGTTGCATTGATATTTTTGTATGATTTTATTAAATGGTACCTAAATAAACAATAACAGTACTGTACGTTAAGTCCATGATTTGCCAAGAAATTCAGTGCACAACAAGTGAAATCCTGATGACGATCAATATATGTTATCAGATTAACTGAAACCCTAAACAGATTTAAGTATCTATGAAGAGACAAAAACTGAAGTCTGGAAGAAAGTAACATAAAAGCTTTTTCTATTTTATTGATTTAATTTTTACTTGAACTGGTAGAGTCATTGTCATCTTATGACGACTGTGTGCACGTCACACAGTTAAAAAGATCACTATTATACTTACCAGAACAGTCAGCAATATTCATTAAAAACCTAATTACCTAGAAGATGCCCTATTTCCAGGATTTTGCCTAGAATTACTATTCAGTATGACTGGGCAGTAAGCAAACTGGTATGTTATGTTTTGGACAAAGACCCATCAAAGAGGTTACTGAGTAGCAGTAAACAAGTGAAGGCTGCACGAGGCAGATAAGAAGTTGCTAGTTTTATCTCCTAAATAAAGAAATTGTCAAAGGCATCTATTTCCAGACTCTGCTGAATTTCAGCTATGCAATACTTTTGGGAAGGCTTATAACTGCAAGTATAAACGTTTGAAGACCATGAATGATTATTCTCACCTCTGGCTGGACAAAGAAGTGTCTTAACCTATTAAAACTATCCTAAGCTGCTCATCTCAGAGGTAGCTATTCCAGCTAACATATTTGATACATTTATAAAGTAATGAGAGAACACATATGAAATAAAAATTGAAGTGTTGGAAATGTGTAGTCAGATTAAAATCCAGAGTATGCATGAAACAAGACCACAAATCTGGTTTTCTTACCTTTTTAACCCATCCAAATTTTTTAGTATTATTTCTAACAGGCAGTGATAGCCAGCCTTCCAATCTTGATTCTGAAAACAATACATATATTAAAGAACAGAAATATTCACAAAACATCATTTTTGAGACTACTGTGCATTTTAAAATCAAAGATCAATAATGAAGCAACAGGGCAAACATGAGACCTATTTAAGAGTACAAGGTCTTGCAAAGTTTATCATAGTAAATATTCAGGAATACATTAAATAATCTAATGAATACAGCCAACAACCAGCAATGCAATCACAAAAAAGTAGTAAGCACAAGGAGGAAGGGGAAGAGCAAACTTGCAGTTGTAACACACACATTCCCTTTAGTAATTTTTTCAAGTCTTAAAAAAGCCTTATGTCTATCAACCTTTACCTTTTACAACAGCATCTAAAGGTATTAGTACAGGCCACACAACATCCAGTTCAAGACAAAAAAAAGGCAAATTAACACCACAAACAACCCTTATTTGTGGGAACATGTCAGTTTAGTATTCCAATTCATACTTTTTGGTCTGAACATTTTTCTTTTCTTTAATTTTGCCTATATCTCCTAGGCTTTCTAACACAAAAGAAGTAATTTTTGGTTAATCCTTAGGCCTTGCCTGACTTCAAGTGCCCTTTCACACACATGAAATATTTTACATTACTCTGGTACATTAGTCAGATTTGATTTATCAACAGTATTAAGTGCTCAGCTGTTGCTTGACACGCACATTTACAGTAGTAACTGTAGTACTGACACAACCAAAAGCTCACCAGGATCACACTTCCCAGTGTTGGGTGATACACAGGATCACATAGCCTTCGACCCTATTTTTATAGCTGCACTTAACACAAGCACTTCTTTCCCCTCTGTTTTATTAGGAGCAACTACTCAATTGCAATAATATTTTTCTAAAGAGTTTTCTACCATAGCAGATAACCTGTACTGCTGCTGAGGAATCTCCTAGTCAAAAATAATTAAGCCTTAAGCATTAACAAACACAAAACCATGGAAGGAGCAAAAACATGCTCCAAAATTGCAAATGTTATTTTCTTTTTCACCAGAGGGCATTTGCAGGTTCCTGTCCATGTTTAACGTAGCATAACAGATAGTTATTAGATATTCATAGAATTCTTATTGTGCCTAGAGAGACATAAAGCAATGTTATTTATTCAGATACACAGTCTTCAACATTTATTGCTCTACCAGCATTGCTGCTGATAACCCATTTCAATGTACATACCAAGTACATGAAGCAGTTCTATAAAATGCATTTTGCCTCATACCTGCCACTTACATTGTTCCTGTCAACTACGCCTGATATAAAGTGTAGAAAGCATAATGCTGATGAAAAAAAAAGCGTGTGTAGGGCAAAAAGTATGCATGTTTTTCCTATTTCCTAAAATATAATGTTTTTCCTATTTTTCTCTGTCATCTCTAATCCTATTACATGAAACTGGACAAAATGAGTTTCTAAAATGTAATTCTTCAATGATTACAGATCAGAGAAAGGACAGAATATTCCAAAATTTTCGTAGCACATACTTATAAAGCAATAGGAGGGAAAGAAACAACAAAACACAACCATCATACCTCAAACCTGTTGTAATTATGTAAGTGAAAATTCCTAGCTTAGATACAAATTTTACTTTAGAACAAAACAAATCCATGCACAAACCACGACAGCAGCTAACAAGAAAAAAATTATGTATGTACATAACTTTTATTAGAAGTCTCATAGCAAAAAACAGAGAATGAGGAGAATAGAGAAAATACATTAGTCTTTACTCTAGTTCAATGAAGTAATGTCAATATCCTAAAAGTTTTGCCTTCAGTGGAAAGGTATTCACACTTTAAAGGAACCTCAAGTGACATACAGGAATTTGAACGCAACTAAAAAAACCACCTATGACATTAACACTAAACAGAAACTTTGTTCAAAAGAGTGTAGGTGCAGTCATATAAAATGAACACAGAATTAGTAGAACAGAGCTCTGTTTTACTAGAGTCTTATCATTCCATATATTCTTTACGTATCTGGGAAAATTAACAAATCTCGCTTGCCTTACCACAAAGGAATCAAATATAAGATTCAAATTAAGGTAAAACAATGTAATACTCAGAAGGCTGAATTTCTACAAGAAGATGATCAGTGTTTAGATTGTGAGGAGTCAGATGCTTCCACACTTCACTTTAACACAAAGATACTTTTTGGTATCCAGTACCTTAGGGTCATACAGATAACTGCAGATACTGGGGAGAGGCTACCTTGAAAACAAGGCCGTAAGGCTCATTTATTCAATGGTTTAATAAAAATGGTGGTTTAAGATATGGTAGGAAGTATTTGCAAAGGTTTAGAGAAAACAGGCCATTTATTTATTCATGCAAACTTTCTCGTGTCTTTGATGGCAATGTTTACTGTCACTTTAGTGTGTTAACTGCCAGATTTGTTTTACGTTTTTTTGTTTTAATAATGCATTAAGAGTGTTAGTTTTGAAACAGAAAAAAGGACACAGTAAGAACAAAGCCAAACACTTCTCAGGGATGTCACCTGTGCTATCAACTTCGGTAGGGCTGTGAGAACAAGACAAAGGTTCTTCCTCTGAGTCAGAATCAGAATCAAGAAGCATGCGAGAACTGGAAGGCTTAGTGGCAATACTGACAGAGGTGGAAGAGTGCTGATAGGTAAAGGACATGGATTCCATAGTGTGGGATTGAGTGATATGGACTAAACATAAAGCATAAAGGAGGAAAAGTAGAAAAGAAGTCAAAACAGAATCTCTATGAAGAGTATTAGTTTTACATTTCATCACATAAACATAGTAACTGCAAAGGAACCACCACAAGTGAAAAAATATTTAGTTCTAATGGAGTGCAATAGAATTTTTAAAAATAAATTTATTTAAATAAATACAAGATGAAGTATGATTACAGACAGATTTAGTCATAGGTGGATAGTGATCCCTATCAAAGGATTGATAAGATGGTATAAAATAGATAAAGATGAAAAGACACAGAATCATCAGATCATCAGCTTCCAGTAAAACACTGATATAAACCCATTTAATGCAGAAATATTAATAAGATTAGCATACCAGGGAATCCATCATCTGCCTCAGCATCTCCAGGCCCACTGCCAATGCTGCTGTTGTCCAGCCCGATGTGCAGGGACTGCAGCTGGGAACGAAGCTGTTCAATGTCACTGTCCTTGCTGTCCAGAGTCATCTGCAGTTCAATCCGGATCTGACTCTCTTCTGCTATTTGCTGTAGGGATAAATTACAAGATCTCCTATTATCACAATATTTGGTTACTCAGATAAAATGTAAGTAGAAAAATCAGGTAGAATTTGTAGCCAATCTCAATATATATTCTGCATATTTCTTTTGTTTGTGGGAAATTGAGGAATAGAGATGGAATACACTACCTTAAAGTCTGCATCAATACTACAGTTTTACAGAAAATGCTGCTATGTTTATATTTGCAAAAGGATCTTACTGCCTGCATTTCATTTATTTCCTTCTGATATTTGATCATCATTTGGGTTAACTTTTCTCGTTCAGACTTCAGCTCCATATGCAGCTTCCTATTTTCCTTTTCCTTCCGCCGTACATCAGTGTCAGATCCACGTTTGACCGGACCCTTCCGATTCATGATCTCAGCCAATTTATTCACAGCCTTTCCATGGGAAAGAAAAAAAGAGACGAAAACCACACTAATAAATACACAGAGTTATGTTGTGAAGAAATAAAGCTTTCTGTCTACAACCAGGCACTTTTAACTGTAAACTAACACTGTAATCCAGTAATATAAACTTGCTTTAATTTCCTGTATTACTCATAACTGAAATGAAGGTAATAATACCATTTTTACTTTAAGAAAGCATTAGCTGTGAACACTTCCACTCATCTAATTTAAATAATCCCTTACATTTTCTCTAGTTAGACCCAAAATATTAAAATGCTACTTTAGTGTTCTAAAAAACAATCTGGATTAAAATCAGAAATATACTTCTTTATAGAATTTATAGAGGAATCAAGACTGAAACCAGTAAAATATCAAATAATTTGACAGAAATGGCGACTTTCGCTGGTGGAATGCATCTGGATTAGAAGTTCCTGTATGATAAATGGCAAGGATCCAGTTTCACTACAATGAAAGTCTACTTAGTAGAAGAAAGAAAAAAATCAAAAATTTTTTTTCTGGACAAAACCAAATAAAGCATTAATGGTACAAATAAATAGTCTACCATGGAAAATTTTCTATTATAAATTATCTGATTCATGAAAACTACCTCTACATTCATTTAAACACATTTGCTTACCTGGGTTTTTAATGTTCTTTCAGTCAACAACTGTTTCTCAAATTGTGCTTTAATATTTCCTATATTTGCTTCCTCTTCTTTTAGTTTTGTAATTTCTGTAGCAAGGTAATCGAAAAAATTCTATGAAAACTCATGAGAAAAGAAAACTACCATTAAAGAACAAAACTGGTTTCAAATTAAATTACATTTTGTTCACAGAATACATACGTTCTTGTACTTCCTTCAGTTTATTGTTTAGTTCTTCTTTTTCATTAGCAAGATTAGCCACATCACTGGTTAGTGTCCTATTTGCTTCCTCCAGCTATCAAACACATGGGTAGGGGCACAGAAAAAAGAATGGTCAAAAACACGCATGAAGAAACACAACAAGATTTTTGAATTTCAATCATAAAAAATAAATCTTTTTAGAATGTTTAGATATACTTGTGTATCTCTGAGTATGCTAAATAACAATGGATAACTGAAATGGCAAATAAAACTCAAGCTCTAAAACCTCTACCAAAATTACAAATCATACAACTCACCGAGGCTATGGTGGCATCTTTCTCAGTAAGTTCCTGTTTATGCCTCGCCATCATCTCTTTAATCTCCAGCTCTTTCATAATCTTCTCTTTTTCCAAATCAGAGTACTGTTCTTCAGCAATGGAACGGGCGAGTTGTTCTGAATCTGCTTTTGTCAAAGTAATCTCTAGCTGAGCAGCCAAGGAGTCTCTGCAAATTATTGATATATGTTTTTAGCTTTAAATTGAGTAATGTAGGGGTAGGAGCAAGGGGCAGGGAAGAAAACAACAAATAGCCATCCTAATCTTCTATGTATCAGTAGTACAACAAAACCTACCTCTCATCCTGTAACTCCTGTATTTTTTGCTGCATTTCTTTACAAATTTTGGTCTTCTCCTCACATTCTTCTTTAAGTTCTCGAACTTGTGTCTTATACAAAGTCTAGAATTTAAAGTTAACAAGAATATGATGTGATTTTTTATATTCTTGAAAGTTCACAAAATTATACAAGATGACATTGTATGCAATTCGTTAATCACACACACTAATTAGAGTGTAACTGTACAATGTCTTCTCTAAACTTATATAAAAGTCACCATTCACAAATGTGTTTTGGTTATTATACTTTTTTGTTATTCTTTTTTTAACTTCTATATTTGTGAGTGGGTAGATGTATGATACACATTTTCTGTGTTTGTAAACATACTGTTAAGGATACTCCAAAAGTGAAAACCACTATTTGACAGAAAACTGGAAGTATCAGAAGGAAACTAATTTATTTTTCGCTACTATTTTAAATCTTTGTCTGACGTAATTAGGTACATGTTGTTTAGATTGTAATCATACAAATCCATGAAGCCCATGTGACAGTTAAAGAACAAAAAGAAATACAGGAGGAAGGGAAAAACAGATTGGAAAATAATTTGAAATTCAAAATTTCATGAAATTGATACCAATCTACAGCTCTAAAAAAATGAAAGAAACATTACATTGCTCTGTCCATTCAAATGACTGAATACAGGTCAAGTGACAGACAGCTGTAAGTGGACTTACTTTCCCCTCAATTACTTCAGGGAATTCAAGATAGATTGTCTTTCTCTGGCCCACCTATAAGAGTCAATTGACCTCAATTCTCTCTTTCTCTCCTTTAATGTGTGCAATGTTTTCATCTACTAAAACTTCAGATAGCCCTTGTCCTCACTGACCTAAATACCACAATAAAATTTTTAGTTTCCTTTAATTCTGAAACAAGCCTTTTGACATCTCCTGCAGTGCAACTGGCTGAGCACTGTTAATAAAAATTAACCTCCACAAGCTAATGATGATTTTTAAGTACAATATCTATTTTTTCTGTTGTATGTTACCACAATCAATCAAAAACTCCTAACAGACCTCTACCAAGTTGGACTGTAATGCAAAAATTTCCTACTAAGCCTTAATGGCACATTTTGTCAGACCAGGTGAGAATACAGCTCTTCTCTACCACGCAGCATGGAAGAGATGCTGAACGCAAAAGGCTGGAAACATGCAGAAAATTATTCACACTGTGGAAAAGTGAGCTGCTTTACTCCTCCCTCCCTCTGAACTCCCTTACAAAGCTGGGACATTTTTTAACATGAGCTCTTTCATACACTCAGTGATCAAGATCAAGGTTGCAGACAACAATGAAGACAGGTACAAGAAAAACAAGTAGCTTTGGGTTAGAGATGTGAAACATCTGATGGCTAAGGAGGAAGAAGAAATGATAACATTTACTCAGTAAACAGATCAGTATAAAAATAAAGCAGCACAAAACATACTGAGAAATACTGTTCAGCTTCGAGTTGGTCTTGAAGCTCTTTCATTTGTCCATCTGCATCTTGACGTTCCCTAAAAAGGAATAACACACTTTCAAGATATAAAGACATTCCAAACCAGTAAATTAAAAAAGACAGCATTCACACTCTTGAGATCTTCAGTGATTTCCTGACCAAAGTATGGTCAGTAATTAAACCTGAAGCTTCCTCTGGGTTCCAGCTCTCTTTTTCACTTGTACAGCTGAGCCCACTGCACTAATAACATTTCAGTTTAATATTCTTAACACGCTAACTACAAACATCTCACACAGTTTAACCAGTAAGAGACACTGATATAGTAAACAGCCACCAACAGAATCTTATTTTCATGTAAAACATCTCTGATCTGACCGGTGTTTTGGGTCTCATGTTTGCAAGAGCAGAGACTGTGAAAACATGTCTGTATTCCATGACATGCATAATTTCTTGAATTCATCTGTTATTAAAACATCAGTCCCATAACACAAGAAATGTAGTAAAAAAGACTTCTGCCAGTGTTTCACATTGTGGTCACCTTCTATGTGACTAACTGCATCTTGCTGACAGAAAAGACAAAGCACAAGGAGATAAACCATCAGAAGTCATAAAAGAGTTGAGATTCATCTGATATGTGTGCTAAACTTGTCTTTTCATTCACAAGAAAGTTCTTTATGTAAAAAAAATATTATTTACTTATTATCGGGTGCAAATACTACTTGTAAGACTTTGAAGAACTGCTGGGATGTAACAGAACTCCTAAATGAAGGTCCAACAGATGTGTTTAAACATCTGTAGTATTAGATATTTCCAATGGTTATGCTTTCCAGCTTTGTAGCAGTATTAATTTCCAACTCTAATAAGCTCTCCTAGACTAGTAATTCCTAGTAACTTTCCTTTTCACTGAAGTCCTACATCATTGAAAAGAAAGTATCTAGACTTTCAGTTAAATGTTTCTCTTAAGTCCTCAGACTCATGTCTAAGCTGGTTTTTTTCAGGTTTTCAGGACAAAAACCATCTTTTAATACAAATCCATACAGTGCTAAATCACTAGGGCAAGTCTCAACTAGTCACTGCAAATTATTTTGAAGAACCTTAAAGTTTTGCACTGTGGAATAGCATATTCTTTGCAGCAAATGTTTTCAATTAATATTGCCCTCAACTTTTGTCACAAAAATACTACAAATCAGTAATATGACTAAAAATATAGAGCAACTTGCATACTTGCGGAGTTCATTGTTTTGTTTTTCCAGACTTAATTTGATTTCCTGAAGATGGTTATTCTCCTGTTTTAACTGCTTCTCTGACATTTTCAAGGTGTTGACCTGCTGCGTTTGCATCTTGAGGTCATTTTGAGTGAGACAGCGCTTTTGTGTTTCTTGCTCTATTTTTAATGTCAAGTTTTTCACCTGAAAAAGACACAAAATCCTGTTAATTTTACAGACCTACACAGGAAAGCAACATTTAAACAGTCTCTTATTGGCTTCCTCTACATTTCTGTACAACATGCTCTCATCTCTTGGTAAATCAAAGCTTCTTCCTGAATAAAGGCATTAGCACACATTAAATTAGCTAGTTTTTCCATGTCAATCTCACAGCATTTTCCATGCCAGAATGAAAAACTTTTTAAGATGAGTAATGCTGAAATATTTCTGAAAAATTACACTACACTCCATGAAGTAGACTTCTTAAAGCCTTAAAGACAGAGAAGGAAAACTATGCTGCCATTTTAACTCACAAACATTACTAAATATAGGTATAACAGGAAAAGTATTACAACATTGAAAATGAGGTTTGACTCAAGATGCCTTTTGTCAGTGTTCCTTACATCTTCATTTAGTATATCCTTCTGCATAAGGAGCTCATTGATTTTCTGTTGTGATTGTTTGAGATCACAGTCCAACATGGAGCGCTGCTTTTCAGCTTCCAACAACCGATTTTCTACTTTTTGCTTTAAAGCTCTCTCTTCCAAAAGTTTCTTCTCCATTTCTGTGAAGTAAAAGATTTAAGACATTAGTCAGTGTAAACCAGCATATTTTGGAGGCTGAAGGGAGGACGACGTTTAACAATAAGCCACATGTTTCTCCTTCCTCAACTGAAGAGGAAGACTGCTGAAAAGTGATTAATTAAAATTTTCACAGTAAACTCACACCTAGAGAATGCTTTTGCAAGCATTCCTGGCAGCTATTTCCTACCTCTGGAGTTTCTAGATAACTTCCAGTTTACCTGCAACACCTCTGAGATGAACAAAAAGGGTGGAATTTTAAAAATAAACCATCTAAATCTACTGAATTGTTGCACTGACTATGATAATATGAAACCAATTAAAGAGCTGAAGCTGTTGTGGAATCTGATATGCCAAGTGACTCAGCCATTGTTACTGAATCGTTTTTGCTTCTTTTGAAGATCTGCATGCTCAGAATTTTTGAGAATGCTCTGCAATTGAAAGGAGAGGCTCTATAGGTAGCTTTTTAATTAGCTACCATAAACATAGGCCACTTAATTGAAAAGTAAGAGCCATCTTCTGGAATTTTTTGGTAACTATCTTTCTCTTCAAGATACTTCAGTTGTCTTGAGATGCACCAGAATATGCACAGTGAAAGCTAACATTATCTACTTTGTATAATTCACACATAAGTCCAACTGTGTCAAACACCTACCTTTCATGGCTTCCGATTTCGCTTCTTCTATAGATTCATAGATCTTGTTTTTGTCTGCTAATCGTGCTTTTGTGGCTTTATGTTCAGCTTCTTCTTGTTCAAGGTTCTGCTGCATAACTTTAAATTTATATGTCATATCTATTTCCATGTTGCTCTTTTCCTGTTAAAAAAAATATTGAAATAAAACATAAAATACATTAGGTTAGAGGTAAAATTTTGGATGACAATAACATGCTGTTTGGAAAGATGCAAAGAGTAGAAGAGAGAGCTCAGACTAACTGAGAACTTCTTTCTAAAATGTTTCTTTGTGGATGGCAAAGTGCTCTAATATGTACAACATCATCTCCAGGTGCAAACAATTACAGAATTACTGCCTTAACAACAATGTCCTGTAATAGGAGTGGTTCAAGGATTAGGTTTATTGAAGAAGTTTTTCAAGAATTTTGTTTCAATGAGAAATTTGTTCAATATTAGCAGAAGTTCTTATATTTTTGGCAATAAGGAGAATTTAAAAAAAAACAATGCATGAAATGAAATGTTACTACTGCACTGTTAAGCTACACATCGGAGTACATTATTATGTACTTTTTAAGTACAATGTCTTACGACTGTATGGGAAATTATGTCTTTTTTCCTCCCACTTTTCAAATTGCAAAAACAATTTAAAAAAATGCTGAAAACAAGGTTTACTAAACATCTCAAATAATAAAAGTAGAAATTCAAAAATTCTGTAAGAATGTAACACCAATGTTCACTTAGAATTGCTGTTACCTTTTCTAAATCTGTGAGCTTTTCCTGCAATTGTCTCTTCTCCATTTCCAATTTGGCTAATGCACTCTTTCCATTCTTCACTTCTTCTTCAAGGCTAGATATTCGACCTAAAAATAACCAAAACATCAATGAGACTGGGCAGTGTGTGAAAACGAGACTGCACTTTATCTATTTAGAGATAACACTTTTCAAACGTTACAGCTTCTAATTCCGACTATTAAGAATATCTCCCTTTGGGGTGATTTTAAAAGTTATCAGTAGTTTTTTATAAATGTTATCACACATTTTCTCTTAAATGTTTCAAAATTGCATAACATTTTATAAAACAGCACACTTATTTAGTCTGTCTGTAGCTCAAATAACACCACCCAAAAGCAATTTTTATTTCAGAAACAAGAAGCAATCTTAATGTCAGAACATTTGCAGGAATACCTTGTAAATCACTGATAATCTCTGATCCATGACTTCGATCTCTCCTTTCCGATTCTAGAGCTGACTGAAGATTGAGATACTCCTTCTCCAATTTGAGTTTTGCATTCTCTAGCAGGCAGTTCTTATCTTGTAGTTCTCTATTATTAGTTTCCAGCTGCTGGATTTGCTTTGTGCTTTCTGTCTGGTTCTTCCTTAACCTGGCTGCAGTATCAGACTCTGACCGCAGCAAAGAATTGGCTTCATCCAACTAAGATTGATAAATACATACTTCAGAAACAATTAAAATATAAAAACTACTACTTCTACTACAGCACACTAGGTTTTAGGTATTAAAGAAGTAAAAAGGAGTATACTTTAAGATTACTTTTGAACACCAAAACATGATTAAAAAAAACAGCTTAAAAACTCAACTACAGATTTCAAATCCCTCCACTACTCCCAAAATCTGTACTTTGAACAGCTATTATTTTAAAACACACATATATAAAGTTGGCATACCTGTCTTTGTAGTTGATTGATTTTCTCATTGGATATTTGAGAGTTCTGATTCCTCTTTTTTAAATCTTCAAGCTGGTCTTTCAAACTGTTAACTATAAAAAAAAAATTCAACATGTTAATCACTGTCATGAAAACACTTCAATTGGAACTATAATTCATTTATTTTAACTTTTAAAACCCCACATCAAAATGGAACCCTTCAAGCATGGTTCAACATACCCTCATTTTCCAAATTGCGTTTCTTATCTGCTTCATGTTCTGCTTTTCTCTGGTATTCTGTATTCTTATGCTGAAGAAGAGCCTTCTCTCTCTCTAACTGCCTGACTGCAGACTCTACATTCTTCCTTGAAGTTATCTGGATATATTTAAAAAAATACACCACTAATTACATACACAAGAGTGGTATTCTTAGATGACAAAAACACAGCTCACACACTCAGTTTAGCCTGTAATGGAGAAAGCCAGTTTATTTGCCTGCTGCAAACACAGCGTATCAGAACACGTGGTCAAATCTGGCCCAGGATGACTATGGCCAGGAGCTCTGCTATTTAAATACTGTTTGATCATTTGGATTTGACAAACCTGGTAGACCTGCCTGGGCAGTCACTCTGGGAGCAGAGAAACACATGTGTAATGTAAGGCTTTGACAGGCACCTGGATGAGCAATACATTAAGCTGTACACATCCACATTCAAGTTTGTAGAAGCACTAAGGTGCAAAGTTGGGCAAGAAATAGGGTCCTTTTACTAACACTGAACAATGCAAAGCATGGCCTTCGTCCTCTAGAAACACTACTCTCACACCTTCAATTTTTAAAATCTATACGGGATATTTATATCATGCTGTTCTCCAGCTTAAAAACACAGTAAAAAACAACTTATCAAAGAAATGTGTCATTATAGTACAGAAATCATAATGAAAATATTTTAACAGTGACAGCAATTTCATGCTTGTGAATACTAAGAAATCAATTGGTGTTACTTGCTAGAAATACACAGCTACTCAAAAGCAATTTGCTGAAGGAAAAAGCCACACACAAATATTACAGTTCTAATTCCAGTAAGAAATATCTATGGACTTACCTCTTCATCGAGCTCTTTCAGTATCTTCTCTAAACGAGTACTTGTAGACCTGACCAAATATGAAAAATATTTTGTGTTTGGATGTGTCTTATTAATTAGATATTCTATTTCCAGCAATAACATGAAACCTCAGGGACGGGTGAAATAATTCAAATAACAGCAAGATTCTTCTAGAGATGTAAGGCAAAAAAACCCAACAAACCACTCCAGTAGTCATAGGAGTAGCAAGAATAGGCCAGCAAGTTACAGTGAGGTCTGCTCACAGGGTTGGGAATCCCCAAAGTGAATTAAAATGCTTTCAATTACCCCAAAAGAGAAGGTTTAATAAAACTACCCTATAAACATACCAAATATGTCAAAACAGTCTCACCTGTACTTCTGTTCTAGTTCATCTTTGGCTTGCAATTCATTACTGAGCTGTTCTTCTAGCTTGCTTAGTTTTTTCTGAAACTGTGTAAAATATCAAAAAAGCATGGCCCACACATAAAAATGTTATCACATAAAACAAATGTAATTCAATTAAATAACAAAATAAGGGAAAGTGAGGAAAATTAATTCAATCTTCCACTATATTATTTTAAACCCATCACTAGAAGGTTACATCTTTACAAGGCATTAATTCAGATTATTTTAAAGATACAGATCCATAGCAAAAAATTTGCTGCATGCTGCATTAAATCAAACCATCTCAGAATTATGTGCCACAGATTGTGAGTCATAAAATTTATATGGGGAAAGAATATTGTTACCGGCCCTTTGCTGTTCTCTGTAGCCAGAGACTGTCCACTGCAGATTGTTTTGGATAGCCTTTTCTAAATGAAATGAAAAAAATAAGAAGGGGGGGCACATGGACAATATTCAGATGACTAAACACGTTCAGTGACCTTACCTGAAGAGAATTTCTTAGTCTTACTCCTTTGGAATTTAATGAACACTTTTCAGGTTTGGAAATGCTTTGTTTTCTCAGAATCAGCTGGGTTGGAAAAGACCTTTAAGATCACTGAGTCCAACCTATGACCTAACACCACCCTGTCAACTAGACCATGGCACTAAGTGCCACATCCAGTCTTTCCTAAACACCTCCAGGGATGGTGACTCCACCACTTCCCTGGGCAGCCCATTCCACTCACTCTTTCTGTGAAAAAACTCCTCTTAATGTCTAACCTAAACCTCCTCTGGAGCAGCTTAAGACTGTGTCCTCTTGTCCTATTGCTGGTTGCCTGAGAGAAGAGGCCAATCCCCATCTGGCTACAACCTCCTTTCAGGTAGTTGTAGAGAGTGATGAGGTCTCCCCTGAGCCTCCTCTTCTCCAGGATGAATGACCCCAAGCTCCCTCAGCAGCTCCTCATAGAACTTGTGCTCCAGACCCTTCACCAGCCTTGTTGCTTTTCTCTGGACCTGCTCCAGCACCTCAATATCCTTCCTGAACTGAGGGGCCCAGAACTGCACACAGTACTCAAGGTGTGGCCTCACCAGTGCTGAGTACAGGGCAAGGATCACTTCCCTGCTCCTGCTGGCCACACTTCCTGATACAGGTCAGGATGCCATTGGCTTTCTTGGCATACTACGGGCTCACGTTCCCCCATTGTCAACCAGCACCGCAAGATCCCTTTCTGCCCGGCAACACTTCAGCCACTCTCTCCTGAGCCTGTAGTGCTCCATGGGGTTGTTGTGGCCAAAGTGCAGGACCTAGCACTTGGCACTTGTTGAACCCCATACCATTGGATTCAGCCCTTCTACCCACCCTGTCCATGTCCCTCTGCAGAGCTCTTCTACTGTCCAGCAGATCAACCCTCCTCTCCAACTTGGTGTCATCTGCATATTTGGCTAAGGGTAGACTCAATCCCTTCATCCAGATCATCACTAAAGATATTAAAAAGGACTGGGCCCAGCACTGATCCCTGGGGGACACCACTAGTGACTGGCTGTGAACTGGATGCAGCCCCGTTCACCAGCACTCTCTGGGCCCGGCCCTCCAGCCAGTTCTTAACCCAGCACAGAGTGTCCCTGTCCAAGCCATGGGCTTCCAGCTTTTCCAGGAGTGTGCTGTGGGAGACGGTGTCAAAGGCTTTGCTGAAGTCCAGATAGACACATGCACAGCCTTCCTCTCATCCACCAGGCAGATCACCTGGTCATAAAAAGGAGATCAAGTTGGTCAGGTAGGACCTGCCCCTACTAAATCCATGCTGGTTGGCTCTGATCCCCCAGCCATCCTGTAGGTCCTGTGTGATCACACTCAAGATGATTGTTCCATAACCTTGCTGGGCACCGAGCCCAGGCTGACAGGTCTGCAGTTTCCCAGATCCTCCTTCTGGGTCCTTCTCATGGATGGGCTTCACACTGGCTAACTTTCAGTTATCTGGAACTTCCCCAGTGAGCCAGGACTGCTGATAAATGATGGAGAGAAGTTTGGCACGCTTCTCTACCAGCTCGCTCATCACCCTAGGATGGATCCCATCTGGTCCCATAGATCCAAGTGGCTCAGCAGGTCACTAACTGCTTCCTCTTGGATTACAGGGGGACTATCTGGCTCCTTGTCCCTGTCTACCTGCTCAGGAGGCCAGCTGTCCTAAGGACAGCTGCTGAAAACTGAGGCAAAGAAGGTGTTAAGTACCTCAGCCTTTTCCTCATCCTTGGTAACTATGTTCTCCCCCGTGTCTAATAAAGAATGTAGGTTTTCTTTGTCCCTCCTTTTGTTATTAATGTATTTATAGCAAAACTTTTTATTATACTTTAGTTTTGCTTACTAAAATATTTTAAAAAAAATGTGAGTCCAGTACCCAAATATTCATGAAATAAATTATAAATAATATTTTTTTTTTAATTCATCTCATGACTTCAGGCTTTCAAATGCATTCATTTTCCTCCCTTCCCTCTCTTCCTCTACCCTCCAAACATGAAGTGTAAAACTGTGGTTTTCTAAAACATTTTATAATTGTTACAATTAGAAAATTCCCAGAAAAGGGACACTGAAAAAGACATTAAAACTGGAGGTTCATTGCTTGAGAAAATACAAATAAAAAAGTTGTCAGACGTCAAATGCAAAATGTTACCATCTGCATTTACTATCACAACATAAAGCAAATATCATGAATGTGACAATATGTATTTTGAACAGCAGTACCATTTCTTTTTAAAAGGGAAACTCTAAAACTATTCATCTATTCAGCAGTGACAGGAAGGAAGTGGAGTGTAATAAACATTTGCTTTTAAATTTAGCTGATCAATACATAATGCATTTCCTTTACTCATTTTTTAAACTTTGAAAAGGAACTGCAAGTTTAAATAAATGTTAACAACATACTATCTACACCTGAACAATACAAATGTTTAAGTAACATAATGGAATAAGTACATGAAAATTCCATAACATTTTCCTGTCATATGCAAATTTAAATTCAATTGTCATCTTCAAAAGCTAGATAAAACATGCCCCATACACTCCAACTGGAATATGATTTAAACATTCCTTTATCACTGCAGGTGACAATTTATTTTTCCGAACTCTGAATAAATCAGTCGTGAATCACTCAGGTAAGTGTGAAATCCTCCCAAGAGTGATGCTGTCTGTAGCAATCAGAGCTTTATGCACTGGATTTCCAAACAAATTCTAGACGCCAAAAGAAGTTGGGAAAAATCTGTATTCATTGCTTTGTATACTATAGCACCTTAACACTTGAGTACAACTGTTTCAAAATACAACTGGTTTAACAATTTGGTGAATAAACATTTAAAATAGTTCACATCCACATAAAATTATGTAGGAATTTTTTTATTCCTTTCATAATTCAAATTATATACTTACCTCCTTGCTGTCCTGTAAATAGAAAATATAATTTTTATTCAGGATCACTAAAAGATAAAAAGCCCCCACAAAATTTCTTGAAAACTTATTTTAGGCTTTGTCTTTTCTTAACAGACTTAACAAAAATTAGTTATGCACACCGTTAATACTGAAGAAAAAAGGCACTAACCTCATTTTTACTAGATTGCACAGATTCATTTTCTCTGCAAGACTGAGAGGAGTCACTTAGCAACCTGTCAAAAACAAAAACAAATCCCTCCAGCTCTTATTCAAGTTTTCAACAACTCTGGCAATCTTGGCATTTTAATCAATTCTCTCAAGTCTTAATTTGTCCTATGCTCCTCTCAGAATGAAGCTTGTTTTATTTCAGTCACAGTGCATCTTTGTGATCTGAATCTTTCCTTAACTGAAGTACAGCATGTTTCCAAATCCACAGCAGCTTATGATCTTTTAATTAATACAATTATTTCTTAATTATTCAAGTTTAATTCTACATTCTTACATAAACTTTTTTCTAAAATAACTAATAATAAGCCTTTTTAGAAGTAAATTATAAATCTATCAGTATTTTAACCCTAAACAATTTTTTAAGATTTTATATAATTCTGTGCATGTAAAAATACTGTGTTTAATCACAGTTATCAAAATAACCAAAATAGTAAGAAATTATTTCACTCAAACTTTGCATTTTGTATCTTCCCAACTGGACATAAATGAATATAACATAAGACATAAATTACATATCTAGAGTGAAAAGAGAATATAAGAAAAATGTGTTGATATTTTTCTAAAAATGCATATTTAGGTATCACATACAAATTGTCTCTATAGTAGGTAAATCCTATGAAAGGCAGCTGGTTTCCCACGAAGGCTTTGGGGATTGGAAAGGTTTCCACGTCTCCCTTGTCGTCCTCAATATCATCAAAATTACTGCTATCTATATCACTGCTAAGCTCAGGAACAACAGGAGCAGCAGCTGTAAAAAGGGGAGAAAAGATGAACTTCAAGATTCAGTCACTTGCTACATACTGGTATCTCTATAATCTTAAAAGACTGTATTATACGCTGTCCTTAAATAACTGGTAGTTAAATATGTATTAACCAGACAGCAGATCTGGAAATATTACTGTGTACAATTTTTTCTAGAGCAATCTATTTTTGTATTAGTTGCTTCATGCATAGACTATGTAATATGCAAGACGTATTTGCTCAGGTAATCACGTTTGAGAATAGAACTATAATACAATCAGCATTTTAAGAAACCTTAGTAAATATGTAACTTCAGAAGTTACGATCAAGCTCATGAGCTGAACTGACACACTTTGCTTTTTTTACCCAAAGCTATCATGTTTTCAACACCTTAAATGAAAAACAATAAAACTGACAAGACCACTGTCAAACTACTGTCTTAACTACCAGAAGACTAAAAAAATCCCAAATCAAAAGAAAAAAAACCCATAACACAAAACAACAAGAGAAACATGTATTGTTTTTAGTTAAAATTCTGAAACATCCAATTCCATTATTTAAAATGGAAATATCTACACTAAAAGCATGATAAAGATGAGGATAATCCCAGTAAGAAAAATGTGTATTTACTAACCCTTACTCATATGAGTTTCCATAAAACAAATGATAAATATGAAAAGTTGAGCAAGACTCTTGAAAGACAGAAAATAATTATACAGTCTAAAGTTTTTTTCATTTCTACTATTGCAAATACTGAATAAAATAGAACTCATAAGTTAATTTACTCACTCTCTCGAATGTTGTCCCAGTTCCACTGATCGCTTTTGAAGAAAGGGTGATGCTTTATTTCTTCTACCCCATTTCTCCCAAGTCGTACATCCCTAAACATAGCAATTAAGCCGAAGTTACATTAGGGAAACTAGCTTCCTTTTTCTTTTTTTTTTGTGTGGTTTGTTGTTATTTAAATTCTGACTTGGTCACAAGCAGCAATGAAACTTTCAGTAAAGACTGTCTGTGTTAACCACACTAATGGTCAGATAAAAACCAAAATTTAAAACCCACCAACCACTAATCTTTAGTTTCTTATATAAAATATACTCTAATTCTTAGCATGCGCTTCCCTGCGACTGCTAAAATGTCCAGAATTTGGAGTCTGCCACGTGTGGAGTAAAGCAAGAAAGAGAGCACTGAGGCAAAAACTACGAAAAACCTAAAAACACAAACAAAAACTCAACACCCTTGGGGGAAATAAAACTGCAGAAGTTCCGTGTCTGCCAAACCACATGACAAACCGTAAGACGCAAGTGAAGGAAGGTCTAACTTACTGCATAGAGCAGTTATTCAAAGCTGGACTAAAATAAATATTTTAAGAATTTCATCCTCTGCCCCACAACTAACCCTGACACGTCTTTTGCTGATTGTAGCAGTGAAGTAAATCTTAAGAGCAACAAGAAACTTTTAGTTTGAACAGGAGAGTGTCTCTTGAAACCATGTACAAGAACAGGACATAAAAACAATGCATGGAAAAGTAGCAATAAATCACAGGGTCGATGCTTAGTCCTTCTTTAAGTGCTTCAGCAGTGATCACGCAGACAGAGAGCAAGCATCTGTTTCAAATAAATTGCTCAAGAACTGTGTTAAATATAAACAGGAAGACGGACACACGTAGTGGAAACACACCTCACCACATTTACATTATTTAATTCTACTCATATTTTCTCTCTACCCTTCAGCTACTAAGGGTGAAAAATGCTGTTAACTTAAGACACATCCTTCCTGAGCAACTGTGATCTTGTTCAGTAGAACAAACAATCTCTCTTTGAATGCAAAACCCATTATAAGACCCCCTGTTTTCCTAATCCCTCATTCTATATGCTCTGCTCCAGCCAGGTTCAGGCAATAACATGAAAGTATAAGAAGGTATCATCGATCCAGAGTTAAATGTGGAAGTACAGGATTGTTCTTTTAAATCAAAGAAATCAAAGATGATCTGTGCTTTCTCAAACTAAAGAAAATGTACCTGTTTAGGTCAAGAACAAGCTTACACAATTTAATTTCAATAAATGGCTCCATTCCATAAAGAGAAACTTCTACAGTCTATTTGTAGCCGAAACAATACCCTTGCAGGTTTGTTAGCTACACTTATCAATTAATGCAACAAAGCAAATACAAATGAAAAATTCAAACATTCCAAGAAACCTTAAACAAACTCATAAATGCATGTTTACTTTCAGAGAAGTACTTGCTTTCATTTTTCATAAGTAACACCCACACAGACATTGAGCATAACAATTCGGTCCCTGCCTCGGAACTTACAAATTACTTTCAGCCTTACAGGTTTGTAACTGTATTACACACTGCAACTGGAAGGATTTGTCCAGCACTAACTGTGTTGTTAACAAGAACTGTCAAAACTGCTCATAGAAATAAAATACAATACCTGGAAAAAACACCCCAAAAGAAAAACTAGAGAACAGAAGGTTGTGCAGAAGAGATGTGGACAGAGATTAGGAGAAGTAATGGAAGGAATTAATTTTTACAATGTACCATCCAAAATAAATACAACTGATACAATTCAAAATAAAAAAAAAAGTAACAGAACTATACATGCACTTACCTATCAGTTAAAAAGGCACAGATAAGGTTCTTCGCGTGTTTAGAGATTTCCACGTCATCCGGGAAATGTAATGAGTTCTTATGATCCATAATTTTACTGTATGTTCCTACTAGTGAGTCTGCATAAAAAGGAGTATCACCTGAAAATGAAATAGTAAACTGACTGTGATTTTGAGTCATGTAAGTTGAGTAAGAGAAAAGATACAAAGAAAAGTCTACAAGCAGTTTACCAAAAAGTCTTTTATTAAAAAAAAAAAAAACAAACAAAAAAAACCCAAAACCCACCAAAAACCAGTAAAATTAGAATGCAAAAATAATGTGTACTACTCAAAATATTCCTTCCCTAAAATGCCTGTATTAGAAACTACACCATTTTCTATCCTGCCTATCAACACCAAAATTTTGCCCGGTGAATTACACCTTTTGTTCTACCTGAAGACTCTCACTGAGTTTTCTAATTTACATGATGGCTGACACCCACACAAATCCCCACCTTCAAACGCTTCACGGGCAAAATGGACCACAATTCACTAAAGATTTGCTAATGCACGTTTGTTGGAAAGAATCCACCAAAGCTCTCTGAAGACCATTTCAGAGGCATGACAGGCCTACCCTGCCTAAGGCAAGTCAGCTCTGAGCAGAAGCCTTCCCAGTGTGTTACTGCACTGTTAAAGCCACATTAATAAATCTGACTGACAAATTACATTAGCTTCGGTGCCCATATTAACATGGCAGGTGGCTTTTAAAACCGTAGACCTTTCCCACCCAGAGGTTTGCAGTACAGGCTCTAAAGATATCTGCAAAGAAAACAGAATTAAGAAAGGTAAAACTGGGACAAGTGAAAAGAATTGGAAGCGATAAAGGCAACTGACACTCAAATTAACTGACAGCATTCTGGACTTACAAATGGTTCAGGTCTGTAATCAAGAAGCTGCAACTTTTACAGAAATGCTTTCTCTCAATTAATCCATAGGTTTAACAGGGAAGGTGAACAACTGATTTGCATGAGCTTGGCTCTTTTCTCCATCCTAGTGTGCTGTGTGCAGGCAGGGGATCACCTGGCAGGGCAGCCTTGCTGGCTGCAGCCTTCCAACAAGGAACTGAATATTTCAGAAGCCAGGTACATGAGAAAATGTATAAACAGACCAATGGACAAAAAACATTCTGCTTTCAAAAGAATATAAATGCAACAATCCTAACTTGAGTCTCCTTCTGTCATTTTATGGTATAATAAGGAATTAGTACACACCAGCTTAAACTAAACTCTCAGACTTTTAGTAAATTCATGAGGGTGCCCTACCAGTGCACTGCAGGTGGGGATCAGCGATACTTGCTACCGCCTCCCTCTTTCCCAACCTTCCTCTTCTCAGTTGTCTTCTGTCCCAGAAACAGCTTTGACTTTGGCCACACCCTAAAACTATCTAAAGTCACTGAACTATCATTAGGATTCATCCTGTGACCAACATTTTACCTTTCAGTCAAGGGCACAATAAAGTTTTCATTTTCATAATAAAATTACCATTTTCATTAGTACTGTGGCTTTACTAAAACCAAAACAACGGAACTTTCTGTGATTTCTTTGAAGTGTAAAGTTTTAGAAGACCACAGGCAGAATTTGATATGTGAGCATAGACAAAAATAGATGGAGAAATTAAGTAATATTTCTCTCCTAGATACAAGAGGAAAAAAAACCGAGGCTCTGAGAAAAAATTCTGGACAGCTATGTCCAATATTTTAATAACGGAATGATTTTCTTTATTGCTAAAATTGTTCATGAGAGATTAATCATTGTACACCACTCTTTTTTAAAGCCAAAGTGCCTTAATTCTGAAAGACATAGAAATTGTAATAGTTTTTTATATTCAAATGTCTTTCCTGGCTTGGGATACCAGAAGCATCAAATCTGCAATATTCCCAGAACATGCTGATTTGGATTTTTAATAATTATATGCTCAATTCCATCCTTCTATAATCAGTATTTTGCTACCAGACTATAAAACTGATCCTCACTATATATTAAGAGGCAGATGACTCATCTCCTTAACAGATTACATTCTATGTTTGTTGCCATAGCAGTCTGGTGTATTTTACTGGAAAATCCTGACTCAAGCATAGAAGAAAGAATCAAGCCATACTTCCACATTTTGACCTAACAGAAGACACTGACATGCTGTGGAAAAAAAGAAGAAAAGAAAAGGACGGTCCTGCCCTTTCCACTCCTTTCTCACCTATTTGGCCCTGCAAACTCAGCACTGCTTGAGGTGGCACACACGTTCATGAGTTGGTGAGGTAGATGACCCCAGTTAAAACTATTCTAAGAATTAGTTTTAAGCTGAACCGAGCCAGGGAACTAATCACTGAGCACGCACGCAAACAGCTGTCACAGCGTAAGAGTGACAGGGAGCAAAGAGATAGAATGAAGGAATGAAAGAGATAGAATAGGAATGAAACCACAGCATCAGCCAAAAGTCAGATGCTGTTCAGGAGGTACAACCAGCCCCTGAGCAGCAAAGTCCAGCTAAAGGCACAGTAAGGACTTAACAATAATCTCATTAGCAGAAGAAATTACTACTTACCAACTAACATCTCAAAAAGGAACACCCCTACAGACCACCAGTCACATTCCCGTCCATAGTAACCATCACCCCCCTGCGACTTCAGAACTTCGGGCGAGATGTAGTCAGGGGTTCCCACGGCTGTGTCACAGCGCACCATTCCTGTCTGTGACACAGAAGAACACAAACAGTTCAGTTCAAAATACTTCTGAGTCTTTAAACAATTCATCCATTAGGAGAGCAGAAAACCATACAAAATATAGCCTAAAATATTTGGTTTGAGGACTGTGTTTGAAAGACTACTTTTTTATTCAAGGAACATTATGGACTGAAATGACATTGCCTGGTAACGTGCTCACCCCTGCCTACTTCACAGTGATTTCTCTTGATCACATCTTTCCAAAAGTGACCCATTTTATTATTTTTACTATTGATTTCAATATGAAGCTACATACCATACCAGACTGCTCCTTTTCTCATTGAATTCAGGGACAAACTTTAGAATCATTTTGACAAGTTAGGAATTCTAGGCCCTACATAGCAGATACATCAAAATTTTGTCCAATTCAGACAATAAATCAAGTTTTAAGTAAATTTTTATAGTTAAACGTTGTTTTTTAATTAAAGACAGGAAGAAAACTAAAATGAAAAGCTATTTTTAAAGAATAGGAAAGCTTTTTTTGATATTTTTTTTAATTAACTAATTACCACAGTTGTATTAATGGAACGATTCCTCATCCCCTTTGCTTCATGCTGAGAGACTAAAAATGCAGGGGCTAAGTGACGCAGAAGCATCAACCAGATCTGCCAGCATTCTGGTTCAGAGTTATAAGCCTTGTTTCCTTTAGTCAAATTCACTGCATTCACTCCCGAGAGACCAGATGGATGAATGAAACGAAATCCTAGATGAAGCTAGAGAAGTACCAAAAATACACTCATCTTTTATTCTGTTTCTCAATCTGAAATCTTATCTCAGTCATCTTAAATAGTTCTTCATGCATTTTGCCATCAGCATGAAATTCAATGTGATCAATTATGAATATTGATAGGGAATGTTAGTAGCAATAACTAAAGCCAAAATACATATTTAAAGAAAGTAAGAGAAATATTTTGTTTTGGGAATTGTACTGATGTGTAAAACTCACACACTATTCCTTTTCATACACAATATGAACTGTCAAAATCTTTTATTTCTGTACTAAACCAGAACACAGAGTCATGAACCAGCACGCAAAAACTAAAGCGATGACTAAATATTGTAGAGACGTACTCCAAATGTCCTCCTGGTAAATACCTATCATCTTCTACAACCCTATGCTAAAGCTGAAACCTGAAGAAGTTTTAACTTCTCAGTTACAGAATGAAGAGTAGGTTAACTTTTGCCTTCTATACTATGGATGAGATAGCACCTAAGTTATTCATTCCTGGGATGAGAAAAGTAATGCTTTTCAGAAGACTTAATGCATTCATTGGTCAAAAGAAAACGTAGACAAACACATTTTAACAGTGGGAAATAAACTAAAGCCCAAAGGCTCCAAAAATCTAAAGTTAAAAGCATTCAAAAATGGATCTGGCACATGGCAGGAACAACTATTTGAATATCCTGCTTGTAACAGCACTCTGTGCACTAATCTACATGTCTTCTCTGAAGCTTAAGCCTCTCTTGCTTTGAGCTCAGAAGGAATTGCTCTTGGGTTATGTAATTCTGCTCATCTGTGGCACCTTAATGAGGCCTTCAACACTGGTGTGTGCCTATCTCTTCCTTATCCACATGCAAAATTACAACAAGGAAAAGTCTGAATTTTTCCTCAGCCAAGACTGGCGGCTGAAGCCACCTGAATCCCTCCCTAGGTAAGGAGATTCTTTAAAAACAAAATAAACAAAACAGTTCTGGAAGATTTCTCTGAAGACTGCAGCTTTAGTCACAGCCTCATCACCTTGACACCTAGGCACTTAAAAACACCCCATTTCCCATCCCTCTATAATTAATACACCAAAGCAAGGACACTTTTTATTATGTTACAGGTGTTGATATTTTATGAAGTCTTAAGTAAACAAAGCAAAGGCTGTGCTAAAACCGGCCAAACCCAAGTCTGGCTGGTATGTAGCAACAAGGAAAGTTCTTTCCAATGACATTACAGATGCTAAAGAACCTCATGTAATAGTACCTTAAGGTTTCAGATGAGATGCCAAAGAACTGAACAGTAAAACAAACAAATATTTCTACAGTAAAAAGGGCCTTGCTTGCTAACACCAGTTTTCAATAGACTGTACCACTTTGAAGCACATGGAGTTGGTTGTACTTACTCCCCATAAAATTCTACCTTCTGTCTCAGGAACTAATCTAAAAATGCATTCACAGATCATAGAACAGTTTGGCTTGGAAGAGACCTTGAAAGATCATCTGACCCAACCTCTTGTGGGAAAAGTAGACTATATAAGATTATGTAGCACCTTGACCAACTGCATCACAAAAAACTCCAGCAATGGGGATTCTACCATGTCTCTGTGGAGGTTGGACCATTATCACCTCCATATACTATTTATTCCCAAATTTCTGTTCCTCTTATTTACACACTTGTTCTTTCAAAGAACTTGAGCATTGCTCTGTATGTATTTCTAAGTCCTGGATACCTTTAATATCACCATCAGACTCGCTTCTATGACCTCTGGCATCAAAGGCAAGTAAACAGGGATGTCCTCTCTGTGTAAGACAAGGCACCCTGGCAGTCCCTACATTCCAAAGAGACCTAAATGATGCTCTTTTCTCTGGACAACTCATTACTCCTGTGTTTCAAATACTAAGCTTCTGTTTTATGCCTGAGCAGCACACTTACTATAACAATTCTCATACAAAGCTTCCTGTCAAGAGTCTCAGCCCAGTGTTTTACCCAAAACTTTCCTCATCACCTCAAAAGACCTTACCATATCGGAATACTTAAAGGGAACCACAATTTCTACTGAACCTCTGAGGCCAACTCTATTCTTTATTCAGTAATAGAAATACCTTGTTGCAGATTTTAAAAAAGGTAACAAATTTTAAAAAAACCCCAACACTCAACACCACAAACTCCCAAATCATCACAACTGAGTTAGATAAACAGAAGAGTTCCTTTAATGCTGGAAAAGATCACTAAAACACTTAGCAGCAACTCTTTCCACATAGTGATAAGGAGGAATTCTGCTGCAACTGTCAGGTTTGGCCTGGCAGACTTAAATGAACACTGAATTCAATTGCACAGCAAAGGTCAGAAAAAAAACTGTCTAACCGAACTGCAACAGAATTTTCCTGGCCTATTGGCAGCATAAGGAAGATACTAATGTGCACAACTGCTAAAAGAAATCCAGATCCAAAAAAATAAAAAGGTATTGGGTAAGCTATATTTTCTAGAAATCAGCCTGCCAACACCAATATTATATTTACACAGCTGGGATGTGTTCATGTTTTGTAAGAAGTAGCATGAGATTTGGAGACAATCCAGAACCTCTCAACTTCTAAAGCTTCCTGTAAAAAAAATTTTTGCCATTCCACTGAGTCTGAGAAACACGAAGAACTTAAAATGTAATCTTTTAAAAAATTAACTTCTTTAAGAGATTACTGGTCCATTGATGATGGCCAGTCTAAACTGGAGCTCACTGTAACTCTTTATGAGAAACATATATGCATTTCTCATATTTACAGTATCGTCATCCACATTTTAGTACTCCATTCTTTTAACAACAGCAGCAAAAAGGAAAATGGAAAAAAAAAGGCCTAGGTCCACCATTTCTGGGATCTCTAAAATAGCATAGAGAATCCCCCTTTCATTGTAGATTTATATTATGAACTTTTTGCTGCTTTTTAATTGTGTCTTCAGATAACAACAGATTCCCTTAAGACCTATGGTCTATTGACTCAAAACAAAGATTAACTTTTTTAAGGACTGAATTAAGAGACCAAGTACTACTTTTGATTTTTTTAATTGAAGTAAATGCTGTCCCCTAGAATACAGGCAAGTAAATCATCAAAGTAGAGGTGAACATTCCCTCTGCCTTTAGAGTAACAACAGTTATTAAAGTATCAGCAAAACTAAATAGACTGAAATTCAATAAACAGCTGCAGTTGTACAATGAAGTTAATATACTGGTAGGTGAAAAAAACCAACCTAACCAGAGACAGTACTTCTAGATACAGCTGAGAAGACATTAATTTAATGATGCAAATGCAAATTAAGTAGGTTGCGGAGATTATATCAAGCACTGCCCAAACAATACAAAGAAAAATCTAAAACACTAAAGCAAGTAAGCTTAAAAGGATAACCCTTGCCAATATTAATACAGAAACCTTTCAAAGGCCAGGCAAATCATAACACCTATTCATACACAGGGTTTTTTTAGAATCTGTTAAAATTTTTCACAGGAAGAATATATTCTGTAATTTACCGGCTAACATTGTTTTTCAGGGAAGATTTTAGGAATGCAAACTACAAAGGTAGCTTTGTTTTAAAGTCTCCTTTGACTAACGAAGTATTACGTCCTGTTAAAAAATATTCTTATGCAATCTCTGTATTTGACTGTACATGGTAAAATCAGGACAGTTAAAATGCACGACATCTTGACAAATAGCTAACAAATTTTGATGAATATATCACATACCACTGCTGCCCTACTGCGACCTCATTTGAATGACCACTAGAGGATGCTATGGGAACAATTACACACAGGAAAAAAACATAGGGACTGTATCTTGCCTGTAAAATAATTTCATTTACAGAAAAATGTCAGTCTATGAACTGTTCCAAGGTTATTATTGTTGAAACTACGAGTTATCTCGTAAGCTTTTCAGACATTTGGCAAAAAAAATGAACTCAGAAATTCATAAACACGCGTGCTTTCAGAAACAACAAAAAGTAAGTTTACATCCTTCTTCTGCGTGACAGAACAGTTTCGAATAGAAAAAATTACACTATTTAAAGTACTCATATTTAAAACTAGGAGACAAGAAACAGCTTTCTAACCAGGCAGACCATTTGATGAATATTCTTTCGTGTATTATAATTCGTAAGAAAATAACCTTTTTTAAATTACAGTTTTATATATAATAAATTATTCAGTCGCATACTTACTTCATCCATTTTCATGCAAGTGCCAAAATCTGCCAGCTTCAGATGCCCATGTTTATCTAAAAGCATATTGTCAGGCTTCACATCTCTGTGTATCAAGCCCATGGAGTGAATTGCATCAAGAGCAAGAACAACTTCAGCTGTGTAGAACTTGGCCCATTTCTCAGGCACATCGTAATTGCTCATAAGGTTTACAAGATCTCCACCTGGCATGTATTCCATTACCATGTACAAGTACTTGTCATCTTGAAAGGCACAAAATAGCTGCAACATTAATAAAAAAAGAAAGGAAAAAAATGCAATTACTTTTCAGAGACATCTAGTAAAAAGAATAAAGCCCCTTATCTTGAAATTTTGTTAGACCTGAGAATATTAATTATGATGGTACCTTGAAATTTACTGAACTTCAAAATCCCCTTATCTTCATTTTTAAGAAAGTGATAAAAGATTTCCTGATTATTTTAATAATAAAAGCTTTTATATATATATCTCCATGTTTCTTGGCATTAAAAAGCATCACTGAGTCAAAATGCAAAGTATCAAATCTGAGAAAGGGAGTATCACATACTGATTTGAAAATACCTCAATAGTGAGCAGCAACTTTGACTATTTCTAAATTGTCTGTATTATAAACTCCTTAACTCTGTACATGTTCACAAAGTCACTGATTTTGTCCTAAATCAACACATATTGAAATAAGAATGAAAACTAAAATGTTACTGAAGACAACTATAACACAATACAAAGAAATTATCCTTAACAATAAAATACTGATCTGATATAGGTTGCAGTTAGAATGTTTTCTACTGGCATGACAGTGAAAATAAGTTGTCTCTTTAAAATGTATTTCAGACCTAAAGTGATGAAGATTTTAGAGATCTCACCCAGTGATCATCAGGTCTGAAAATAGCCCAAGCCATCAAAAGCGTTACTATCAAAAGTTAAGTGACTGGTGTGAAAAAGTCTCTGAAAGTCTCACCTTATTTCTCAGGGAATACTGATCTTTTACCTTCAAATCTAAAATTATTCACATCTTTAAATTACACACACAAAATTTAAAAGGAACTGAAAAATAGGATGTATGGAAAGGAGGAAGTGAAAATAAGGGAATCTGTGGAGGATGAGGAACCATGTAAGGCAGGTATGTTATTATGGAGATTTGACTTTTAGATTAAAATTAATTGTATAATTAGCGACAGAGGACCTAGATTAGAAATATATATTTTAATACATATATATTGCACTGTATTTGTTTTCACAAATGGATAATATATGCATTATATAGTAAAATAATGCATTTGGTCATTAAAATCAAAATTAAAATCCAAAATAATATCTGTATTCTCACATGTAAAAATATTACACAATAATAAATAACAGCACTATGCCTTTATACAGGACTTTCATTACTGCCCTCAAGGGATTTAATTTAAAAAAAAAATAAATTAAAATTATCTAGGGCTCTGGTATAATTTGTTTTTCACATTAAAAACAAGACACAGAGAAGCAGTGTGATCTGTCCCAGTTTCTACCTCAGAACAGGAACTACATTTTCTTCAAACCAGCTCGACGTCCTATCCCACTGGACCACATTACCTAAATATATCACACTAATACACTTTACCAGAGAAGGCACAATCGCAACTACACTATTGTTCATTTGCTATTTGCAAATACAGACATACATTTATATCCTGCTTGTGACACTTTCCTTTGAAAATCCATGTCATGCCTTTCTCGTTCCTTTCAACTGCATGTGAAAAATAAAAATAATTCCTGACAACTAATTTGACTAGAACAAAGAACTAAATAAAAAAAATCATCTATTTGGTTAAGTATTTCTGCTGAATATAGGCAAGGGCACAGAACATGCTCAAAGAACAAATCAAGTAAATAACCAACCTTGTAAAACGTTTCCTGCATGAAGGTATGAAGAATATATGGAAAGCTTCAGGCCAGTCTTATTAAATACACAGAAGCACAGCAATATACATGAGAGCACTTAAATGTATTAATTATTTAACAAAATTAAGTACTAACAGTTTCTCCAAGCACATGCTTTCACTACCCATTTTATTAACTGCTCTGATTCACCACTTACAACAAATGGCAATATTCAGTAGTGATTCCTCCCAAAGGTATAATTCACATTAAAACATCATGATGATACAGGCCATGAGACAGCTGCGAGCAACGGTGCTCAAGACAACTGAAGAAGCCAACTCTCCATTACCTGGATATTACTTCCAAGCTGAGATGCTGTAACTGGCCACCAAACAGAAGAGAGTTTAGCAAACCACTGCTACAACCACCAGTCTTGCAGGATGTGCACACCATCTATGGGTGCACACTCATCCATAGACCAAACTGCTGATGAAAAGACAGCGACTATTTAAATCACTCTTAATACTAACTGCCTGTGATCAACTGCCTGTATCGGGGGAAAGACTAGAAAAAAATATTGACATTTATTTCTACATTTCTGTACAGATTTTTTCTTAGTTGGAAAGATAAATTCCCTATTATTCCAAATAATTACATTGGTATTTCTAAAGTCTGTTTCATTCTGGTTTTATGATGCATTTGTGGTGACTAAAATGTAAATTAATCTACTTTCTAACACAGCCAAATAATCAAAACTCAGTGAAATTGGTGTAAACATGTATTTGTAAAGAGAAAACTGTGATTGGAGTTTAGATGTAAATTCAAAACCAGCTCAAGACTGGGAAATATTTATTACATCATCATTACTATTGCTGTTATTATTATTATTGTTTTACTCTTACATATCTTCCTTACCTGAACCACCCACGGACTGTTGGCGAAGGCCATGATATCTCTTTCTTCCCAGAAAAAGGCTGAATCTGATCTCTTGATCATCTCAAATTTACTAAGAAGCTTCATTGCATAAACCTTCTGTGTCATTTTATGGCGAACCTATTGGTTGAGAAAGAAGAGAAATAACTTTTTGCAAATGCCTCAACACCAGCACAATATATTTCTGCTGTGTGCAAACTGCTTTCTGGGATGCGATGCCTCCAGGTCTTCATACACCCGCTTTCCTACACAGTAAGGATTCGAGAACTTCCAAACTTGGAAAGAAAAGCTTAACAGCTGCTCAAAAAAATCCCCATAGCAGGGGTGGAACAAGAAGGATGCCAAGTGAAGGAAGATATGTCAGAGCCTGGACAAGGGCTGCAGCTACCACTGCAATCCCAGCAGAGGAGCCACTGGGCCATGAGCAGGAGCTCCTGGGAGGTGCCTGTTTCTTTGAAGATGCACGAACACAAGTATATGACAATGAAAAAAACCTCCAAAAAAACCAACCCAAAACTCTGAATGAGAAAAGTACCACCTTTCTCTAAAGACCTGGACTGCTCTTAACATTTTCTGAGTGAACGTGCCTACTTCAAATCACCCAGAACACTACAAAGATAAAATGACTGTGTTTACAGAAGAAAAAGAAAATATTATTCCCCCATCAAAAGTTCGATCATGTAAGGAGAAATAAAGTCCAACTCTGATTTTATTTTCTTATTCTGAACACTATCTAGCCATTGAATTCATTCATGTTAGAAATTCCACAAAGAGTCTGCTTCAGCCTCTGCCTATTTTTATTTTGCACCAGGTAAAGATTGCTCCTATTTCTTTCTTTTCCTAAATAGTTCTTAAATTCACCTTGAATGGTGCAAAATTAGTAATACAAACCTTACTAAAAAACTGGAATGAAAACTTCTATGGAAAAACATGAAAATATTTTTGAAAACTTCATCTGAATGCAAACATGAAACCAAATCCTTAAATTACACACTGCAGTCATTGCTCTGCTAATTAAACAACATGAAACTTATGCTGCTTTATGAAACAACTACTAAAGGACCAGGTTTTTAACATTCTTGAGTGTTCCTTACAGAAATCAGTGTGAGAAGTATTCAGCTGTAAAATGTCTAAGTCAGCAGAAAAAATAAATTAACTGCACCTTAATGTTTTGCATATTTTCTTCCTGTTAAAATAAAAAATTCAGTGCACTAATTTCTGAAATCAATTTGTGAAATGCACCAGAAACAGAAGTTATGATTTTCTGGTGCATTTAGAACTCTCACATTTAGTAAAATAAAGCAGATCTCCTGACCTCTTAGTTTTGCACTAGTTTAATTATGCTACTTGAAAGAACAGAGGGTTTTTCTGAACAGCTGTAAATGTTCCAGGTCCATTATGTCTGCAGTGCAAAGCTTCAGAGAAGCACCTATTTGGTCTACAAATCTGGGAGTCTCCTGCTGCAGAGGAGCAGTAGAGATTAATACTGCTGAAGGAACAGAAGTATCAGTGGAGGGGTTAATCTTGGAAAGAGTGAGAACATGAACAGAAACAGGATTATTTAAGAATTTACTTGAAATTAGGGCTTTTTGCTTTCAAGATATAGGTGCAGAGGTTTTATTATTAGTATCTTGTATAGTTTATACTAATAAATAACCTCCAGCCTAACACCAGAACAGAAACAGGAAATCTACCTTCATTAACAACGCTATAAGCATATTTTAAGACATTAACAATTAGTCAGCTAGGGAGGATGTCCTAAGAAAGGGCTTTGAAAATTAACTCCTTCCCATTTACTAATCCCACATGGGATTATTTATAAAGATTTGGTGGTACACCACAAACTATATTCCACAATGTAGAGCTCTTGTAATCCTGCCCAAAACCAGAAGAAACAAAAAGACCAGAAACCACACAAAGATACTGTTTAATTGAAGATGCGTTTTCTTGAAAGTTCATGTAAAGCTCTGCAATGTATTTAGTAGTTTACAGTTCCTAAAATCGGTGTGCATTCTTGCATAGGTGTAGTTAGTGTAGCCTGCCCTTATTTAAAAGAACACCTATCTCCCACTACTTTGGGAAAAAAATTGTCAAAAATTAGCAGAGCCTGCAACAAGCTCATGCACGGGAGAGGCAAAGTAAACAGGGGTGGGGAGACCTAAAAGCATAGCCTGTGCACCTCTCTAAAGTAGTGCCAACAGGTTATTAGTTGGCTAAATTACTTCTTGAGAAAATTTCAAGATAGGTTCTTTTCTCCGTACCAAAATCAAGGAACCAAAGCAATAACTGGTATGGCACACCCAGAGACTGAGTGTGTCTTGGCACACCTTGCAGGGGAACAGACCTACCGCTGGTATTACTGCTTCTATCACCACCGTGGCCCCTGGAGACAGCCTTTTTAGCTGCTAGTCACTGTACTCTTCACCCAGAGCTATATTTGTACATACAGATATTGGCTCATACAGCAGATTATTCATGTATTAAACTGTCATGATGTTTCAATTTATTCCAACTGTTAAAAGGACCTGCCAAATTTAAACTGCAGCTCACCACAGTAACTCTCAAAATAGGTAGGAAAATCCCTTCATGCCATTAGCACTGAGTAACATGGCCTCGTTTAACTCATGAAAATGCATTAAGAAAAAAGAATTTCACTTTACTGTGCCTCAACAATCTAAGACTTTCAGTAAAGGGGAACACACAGAATGCATCCATAATTTCTACATCATCTACACCAGAACACAATCTGTAGGCAAAGAAAGTAACATACCCATTTGAAGTTATCAGATTGAATACGCAGCATTGGCGATGGTACTGTCTCTTTTATGATTAAAAGAAAATGAAGATCCTAGAGTGGAGTTTTGAAATTAACTCCAAGGCTTGAAGTAATCACAAGTATCCTAAAATACTTAATAGAGCCATAACACATGACTACAGATAGGGCACTGAAGTTCATATCCTGACAAATTTTCAGGTAGTAAATCAAGACTTTATCTACTTTACTACAGAGTTGCACATGAGCATTGGATGTGGAACTAAACCTAATAAACAAAGCACTTAATGGAAAAAAGCAAACCAGCACCTGTTTACACAGGCCATGACAACTGCTGGTTTCCAACACTAAGAAATTACACAGTGAAGACTGACACCAAGACCACCCTTTAGCACCCAAACATAGGAAAGCATTAGCTTTGCTTTAGTTTTCTCTTCCAGTACATGACCAGGTCAGTCTGCTGTGTCACTGCAACATTACAGTCCTTCATGGTTAGACCTGGGAGAAGGAACTAAGGATAAGTTTCAATTTCAAATCAAGAGGATTTTTCCTCAAGTGAAAACAAACAAGAGGCACTCAGGATGTGCTTTCATAAATTACTGTTTCTGCATAAACCACAAGTAACATATTAAGCACCATAATTCAATTTTTCTGTCTGCCCAAACACCAGTCACTTTTATTCACGGCACTACATAAAAGAAGAAGTGGTCTGGCAGCTGGCAATTATTTTCTTAGCTTTCCCCATCACTACAGACCCAGCAAAACCAGAGACCAAAGCTCAAGTGTAGAGTTTAATACTTCTGGAGCTATAAGGAAATTGTTTTTCCACCAAAGTCAGATGCTCAGACCAGAGTCATATGATCTCTCTTTACTGGACTGAATTTTTTTAATTTTTTGGAGGGGAGAGGAAGGGAGAAAAGTGAGGCTTTTTAAGTACAATCTAACTGTAAGACACAACAGTGGAGAATGTGTTTCCCTTTTTTGAAAGACTCTGGAAAGCTGATCATTCCACACCACTTCAACAAGAAAATGCTATACTGTAGCAGAAGACACAGGGAAAATAAAATTAAATGACAAAGGTCATAACTGCCTATTTTATGCTGTAAATATTACAAGCCAAAAAATAAGCATACTAATAATAACCATTAGAAACATATAATAAATATTTGTGCTGCAGCTACCTAAGCACAACAGCACACACTGATAACAAAACATTCATTAACTCACATAGTTAATCATGTTTTATTTATGGTTCTTTCTGCATTGAGTCCCCACTGAAGCAAATTTCTATTTTGATCACAGAAAGTATTGCAAAATATTTTGCTTACTGCAAATCCATCATCTGCAACAGTGGGGTTAACATTTTGAGTGAAGTAGAAATAGATATAGCTTAGCTCAATAGTTTAAACTTGTATCATACCTTGTGAGGCAAAAAATCTAGGTATGTCTGTCCACATCACCCGCTAATATTAGTTCAGATCTGCAATTGTATTTATTAGCCCACTGCTTTTTAGCTGTGTCGTGGTTTTGCCCAGCTGTAATGTTATGCAGTAAGACTGCATAACATTATGATTTCAACTTATATTTTTACATTACAGAAAAACTGTGTTCTCTTAAATTGACATAGAGTACAGAATATACACAAGTTCCCCTCTAGTACTAAGCATTCCTTCCTTTTTGAAAGGCTTATTAAAGAATAAAAATCCCAACATAACAACAATGAAACCCAGAAACCATTATTATTTAACCAAGTTATCAAGCATTTTGCCATTTTCATGGTCAGGCAAATGAAAAATAGTTTGTCTTCAGATCCCTCAAACTGCCTAACTACAGCATGGACACTGAAAAATCATCTCTTCTTCAAAATCTAAATTGTGCATGACATGGTGAATTAAGAAAAAGTTTCCAGAACAAATCAAGAATTTCTATTTGACATGAAATGATGAAAAGAAATTAAAATTATTTAGAAAAGCCCTTCTGTTCTTTAGAAAGACATATATGAAAACAATGTATATTCATTTTTGAAGCACATCAAAAATACAATTCTCTTGGATCTTTCCAGCAAATATGTGACACCCAAAAAAGACACAACTTCTGTTACTGGGATCTTCTCTTTTTCATCTCACCCCCACTCAACAAATGGACTTTTCACTGACTTCACATGCAAGCGCATGAAGAAGGAGAGTCTCTATTTGCTGCTACAAGTGGACATATATAAAGATAAAAATATCTAATAAAGGACTTTAAAACAAACATTTGATGTGTCTGTCAGTGAAAAGACGAGGAATAGTCTACGTTCTTACAAAGCTCCCTGCAGCAGCTCTTTCACACATTCTTGACAGCATGGATATAAAACCATATAAAGATATATATATATACATATATATATATTAAGTCTTGTCAGAAAATGGGGATTTTTGGAAATACTCCACTGCAGACTTCATACATTCTTCTGGATAAAAACAAAGTGCAAATGACCCTGATAAAAATAGGTAAGAGGGTGCTACATTCTCATGTTGCCAGACTTGGATGAAGGTGTCTCAAAAATAAAACAAATGAATAAAAATTACTCATTGAATGTTGCTATCTGCCGCATTAATCACATCTAAATTTGCAAATTACCCTTTAGTCACGCAAATAGTTTTAGGTTAGTCACAGTTTTAGGTTAATTTTAGGTTTTCTTCCCCAGTTCCAATGAATTTCACAAACACTAATATGGAAAATACAAAGAATTTTATAAATGGATCATAAATGTATTACCATTATACACTGTGTACCTTCTGTAAGCACTTCACAGCTCAGATCTAACCATAGTCCTCAACAAAACCCCAACACATCTTTGTATTTTCCAAAATTCTTATCTGTTACAAGACAATATTATTTTTCCAGCTACCTAATGCAAAATTAGCACACCACAGTACAGTGTCAGTTCCATGTCAAAAAGCAAAAGGGTAATTTTTGTTACCTTGTGGTAACAAGATAACAAGCTTCAATTGCTGCAAATTAGTTGCTCCCCTTTCCATTGACTTGCTCCACATCTCTCTTCCACTAAAAATGCTTACAGAGAAAAGTATCCTGTATGAGCTGGTGCACAGTTATCTATTAGCTCATGATAACTTGTCTCTAGTGTTTGTGCTTCAGACTTTATTTGGTGCTTACATCCAAGCTTTTTTCAAAACTGACAGATCAATACATCTTATGTTCACATTTTTGTGTCACTTATCACACATTAGGACTTGAAAGGCTCAGAAAAATCAAAATTAAATGAAAATCAGACTATGTGTGATACACCAAGGTTTTTTTTGTAGAGTGCCTTTTTTTTAACTAGAATTTCTCTACAATAAAAATTTACATAGTAATCCCATTCTTACTTCAGATATTATACAGCATACAATGTTGAGGGGACAATGTTAAGAATTGAATCTTTTAAAAATCCTGAGTCATGTCAATTAAATACAAACGCAAGCATCACAATTAAAAGAGCAAAACAAAATTCTTTTGTCACACTATATACTTGCTCTTTTATAGGAAGGCTTCAGGCATTATTACACAGTGAAGCTTGTGGCCAAAAAAATTTAGAATTGTGATGAACTGCCTTTTCAATATTGATCAAAGGATAACAGTTTCCCAAGTCCTTCCCTTCTAATCCATCACATTTTAAACTCAGATGTACTGTCTACTATGTACAGAAACAACCTCAATGCTACACTGGAAATAACACTTATTCTTTTTAAGAATGCATTTTTAAAGCATGGAGAATTCAAGAAGGTTTTGGCTAGAACTGGAAATCTCTCTAAACATTTAATCATTACATTCTTACCAGCTGCACTTCTCCAAAAGCCCCTCTTCCAATCACCTTTACAACATCATAGTCTTCAGCTTTCATTTGTAAAGCTCGGATTTTTTCCACAATCTTCTCATCTAAAACAAATCAAATAGAAGTTGTGATAATGCATGCATTAACAGAATACAAGAATTTTCTCTATAATTTTTCATTTAGAATAAAAATAAGCTATTTTCATTTAAATGTTCAGAGTTTTCTTGATAATTCTTGAAATCTGCAGTCACTCTTAATATCCCCTTTCACTATTCTTTGGAAACCATTAACCCTCTACCTTTAGCTGTAACAAGTGAAATGCCTTTTGGATTTTGCTGATTCTCATTTCACACCTCTAATAATCACTCACAAGCTCACAAGAAGACTCTGGTAATGAAGAGAGGCAGAGATGCCTGTTGTGCAGAGGTAGAGGACTTGGTACACACAAAACCACTGCAGCTGCAACCTGCTCCTACACACACCTGGAGGGTTCAACAGCACTCAAATGGTGAGGAATATAACATTCACGTACAATTATAGATCATGCAATGATATGTCTTCAGATCCACTAGTTCATTCCATACAAAACATTGATTCAAGTTTACATATGTGTATGTAACAGCTGGCCATCTCAAAGTGCTTTTTGGTGTTCACTACACTTCTTAAAATGATGTGTACAACGCTCTATTCAAGTATTCTCTGGTACAACATTCTGCAGATAAGCTCTGACGGTCAGTATGTGTCTTGTTGGCAGTTGTGAGAATCCGTAAGGGAAACCAGTGAAATTCTGATCTCTGACAAATTCTAAAAACACACAAGGTCCTAGACTCTTTAATTTTGCAAATGAAGCATGCTATGAACGCATTCCTGGTTAAATGCATTTTTTAAGTCTATTCCTATTACAAGGACAAAAGATAATGGCAGCAATGAATGGAATCCATAATACTGGAGGTAATCTTAGGCATGGCAAGCCCCCCCACACACATTGAGAGGAAGCAAAACAGAGCAAAACAGGTGGCTGGAGCAAGAACTCTACCAGGAAAGAGTGTGAAATTGTATGAAAAGCTGTTGATGTTTATATTCAGAGAGGAGTAGAGGTGCATATTGTGAGATCCCTGCTTAGGGTTAAATACCGTGGAATTTGATCCCTAGAAAGGCATGAAAGAGGATCTCAGATCTGAATACAGGGGTATAAAAGGATCAGAGATACAGTTAATCCAGTATGACATTGAAGATGACAAACTCTGAGGAAGTTAATGATAATGAACATCTAGTAAATAGCTTAACCATTCCTACATATTTACAAAGAGCAGCTTGGCAGGCTACAAGCAATGCAGGAGATGCCTGACCATCAAGAATATTTATTTTGTTCCAAGCAAGAAGTAAGCCAAATCAGGGAGGCACTCTGATCTATTACTCACAAACAACGATGATCTGGCTCAGGAAGACAAAGTATATGGCAGCCTTAGCTGAAGCAACTGTGAGATGATGGAATTTAAGACTCCTAACAGAAATGAGGAAGAAAAATAGCAGACCTTGGACTCCAGAAGAACAGACTACAGCTTGATTGGGAAACTCACTGGCAGGATCCTGTGGAAAGCTGCTGTGAAGGGCAGAGGAGTGGGTTGATCTTCAAAGATGACATGTTCATAGCACAAGAACAGTCTGTTCTAGTTAGCTAGAAATTGAACAGGAATGGCAGGGGGATCCAGTCCAGCTGAATGGGCAACCTCTGCCTCAAGTCAAGCACAAAAGGCAAAGGTTTGGACCATGGAAGTAGAGATGTCCCAGACGAGTATTGAGTGACTCGGCAGGAACATCTCAAACAAGCAAAGATAGAATTGGGAAAGCCAGGTTTGGCTGGAATTGAAACTCAAATGACTTTTTTGCCTCAGATTTCACTCTCAAGCTCAGCTCATAGGCCTCCCAGCTCCTCCAAGGTAATAGTTGAGGGTGGGGTAGCAAAGTATTGCATTAGGTGAAGTTAAAGACCAATAAACCAACTTGACATACACCAGGTCATGGGACAGGATGCATCCAAGTGTGCTGAATAAGCCTGTAAACACCATTACCAGACTGTTCTCTGTCACCTTTGGTGGCATCTTGGGGAGGCTCCTGATTACTGGTAAAGGGCAGATGCCATGTCCTTGTTCTAGAAGGGCAACAAGGAGGATTCAGAAAGCTACAGGCTGGACCAACAGCCTGACCACACTGCCTACAACAAGCACGGAGCTAATCCTTCCGGAATCCACTTCCAAATACTTGATGGACAAGAAAGGATAAAAACAGCCAGAATGGATCTAAAAAGGACAAACTGCATTTGATTAACCTGATTTCTTTCTATGATGAGATGTCTGTCTTGGTGCACAAGGGGAGAGCAGTATATACATCGTTTCCTATACTGTAGCATGACTTTCAACACAGATCTCAAAGCACCTTTGTAGCCAAACCAGGCCAATGTGCATTGCACAGAGAAGTTACCAGGTGAGTGGAATACTTGCTGGAGTCACAGTTGGTGGTTTTAAGTTCAAAGCTGACACACTGGAGGGCAGGGTGGCTTCTAGGAGTGACCCAGACAGGATGAGTAAATGAGATGACACGAAGCTCATGGAGTTCAACAACAGCAAGTGTGGAGTCCTAGAGCTGGGACGCAACACCACACGACAGTGTAAGATGGCACTTTGAGAAAGAGGACCTGACAGCCTTGGTGGACGATAAGTCAAGCAAAGAGGAACAAGCAGCTAGCCTTTGCAGTGACTGTGTACAAGTCTAAATGGGTAAATCCATAGCCAGTAGGCTGAGGGAAATAGATTTCCTCCTCTATTTGTCTCTTGTGAAACCATATCTGGAATGCTATGCCTAACTTTGGGGTCCTCAGTGCAAGAAAAATATCAAAACATTCCTTAGCTTCATGGAAGTCCACCAAGATGCTTCACATGGTACTCCCAGAGAAGCTGAGAGAATTGAACTGCTCAATTTAGGGATGAATAAATGGTTGGCCCCAACAATTCAACTGCACAAGGACCTGGATGATGTAATATAACATCTGAACTCGTTTGACTTTGAGCAGAGTTGGACCAGTTGACCTCCAGTGATCCTTCCTAACCTGTGGAATACAAAAAGGCTACTCAATCTTTCTTCTTCTGTGGGAAAGATTAGATGTGACAGGGAAGGGGAGAGATTAACATTAATAACGAGGCAATAGTCTGCTAGTGAAGCTGTAAGGACAGAGGCAATTCAAACCTCAAAAAGTAAACAAATTTGCTACATTCAGTGTACCAATAAGTCTGAAGTAATCCAGAGTGTGAATCAGGAAAGTTTAGACAGGAAGCACAGGACAGCAACAGTGCTTCACCCACACCAAGTTTATTATTTTGTTAATAATGTGAACTAATTTTGCAAATTGAGAAGGGAAGACTATGCTTGGAAGCTTATTTAACTGCAGATCGGAAGCTCTGGCACAAGACAAATAATAATAATAAATGTAAATTCACAGGAAGCAGCAGTAGAGAAGGAGTTTCAGTAAAATTCAAGGCAGAGAGAATGCAATTTCATGTTTGAACATATCTCATGAGGGACAGGAATCACATGAATTTATTTTCAAATGTTTCTAAGATGTTAAAAATATTTTCAGATGTGTGAAATGAGATGGCAGGTATTTCAACGCATTGAAAAACTAGTGCACAGTTTTACAGAGCTCAATTTCTGATCAGAAACTCAAGGGAATATTTCTGTGTTCAAAGTAGAATGGAGAAACTAGAAACCAAGTTACTACAGCTCCAGTGAAACTCTTTAAGCATTAAATACTGTGATTAAGCAATGAAAAACCCAGTAATATATGAAGCAACCAGAAGAGGAGTTACCAGTTTTATCATTCCTGTGAAATGCGGAGAATGGAGAAATCCTACTTGCTTAGCTAAAAGATAGGGTAGAATAGGATAGAATAGTGTAGAGCCCTGTCAGTAGGAAGGACCCACAGTGGTCATCAGTCCAACTGCCTGACCACTTAGGGCTCACCAACAGTTAAACACGTTGTTAAGGACACTGTCCAAATGCCTCAAACACTGACAAGCTTGGGGCATTGACCATCTCTCTGTGAAGCCTGTTCCACTGTTTGACCACCCACTTGGTTAAAGAAATGCTTCCTAATGACCAGTCTAAACCTCCCCTGGTGCAGCTTTGAACCATTCCCACACGTCCTGTCACTGGATACCAGAGAGGAGACCTTTCTCTCCGCTTCGCCCCTCTTTAGAGAGCAACGAAGTCACCCCCTCAACCCCTTTAACTAAGATTTAATAATATTAGTTAAAAATAGTATCATCTAGGGATGCAAGTGTTGTGAAGGTATCAGTTACGTAGATGGACTGTCTATTTTGGCATAAAATTTTACAGATATGGAACAGATAATCAATGCATGGAACTAATCTGAAACAAAAAAACTGGGGTGTAAGAAGGCAAGCTTAGATTAACCCCGAAGCCCTTTCATAATTGCAACCCATGCTGGATCATATGATTTAGTTCACGTATCACATAACATGATCTAATTCAAGGTGCAGGAGACCTTTCCAACAGTAGCCTTTTAGTAGAGTTCTGAATTCCTGGAAGATTTCACATGGGTAAGTTTGCAAATTTTTGGTATCTGTATGCACTGATACTACAAATGTTATCTTACAGCCTCATGAATTTGCATTAGAAGAAAGCCCAGCAGAAGAAAATGTTAAGTTTAAAGGAAGGCATTAGATGGACTCTCCAGCCCCAGAATATAATGGAATCTTTTAAAAATATTGTGACATTTGTGTAAAAGTCCTAAAACATGAGAATATCATCAACTATGACTCAGTTTTCTTCTTTAACACAGGAAAGACCAGGAATGCTGGATACTAAGAATGTTTAAAGACAGCTTTTGATTTACTGTTTAAAAATGGTACTATAATCTTTAAAAAATGAAGTTTCACTTTCTGAAAGGACAGAGTGTTTAGATCAGTCACTGACAGCTGGCAGCAAGAATGTGGCTCAAGGTTGCAAATGCTTGTGAAAACAGAAAAAATACCTGACTAGGAGAGTAAAGGGGGATGGGGAGAAGGAGAAAACCTTTTTAACCACTGCTTTTTAAAGTTTAAAAAAAAAAAGTTCATATGAAGGTTATTTTCTTAAAAAAAAAAAAAAAGAATGTGTATCAAGCAGTTCTGGGCTGTGTATATATGATGAATAAAAACGCAAGGAAGTGCAATTTTACCCCACAGATCAGTCAGTCAGTCAGTGAGTGCTGCTGTGGAGCACGTTAAGTCAAAAGCTGCTGCCCTAGGCACAAGTCCAGCCTAAAGTTAAATTGAAGTACAGCCAGGAAGTGCTGCAATCCCACACCCAACCAAAACCAAACAGAAAGCACAACAGAAAGACTGAAGTCATTAGGTGTGCATACATAATACCTGGTCAAAGGTGTGTGAAGAACAGGAAGCTGTTGGAGACCTTGCAGAAGCAGCAGAAACTAGAAAGCACAGCTTCAAATAAGGCAGTGCTTCCACCCTCCAGATAAAAGAGGTGGGCACAAGAAATATTTTGACTTGCACAGACAAAAAGAGCAGAAGACAGGGAAACAGAAGGTAGCAGCCCTCTGGCTTGCAGAGAGCAGATTCCTTAATGAAAATAAGGCGGATGGCAGGACTGAATTGCTTTGTATCTACCAAGTACCTAAATGGAAAAGTGGTTAATAACACTGACATATAACTTGTTTATACATCTGAGACATTCTGTCTTAAACACTATGGCTTCCATGCTCTGCTTGGGAAAGTTGTTTATTTGATACGTCTCCCATCCCTACTCTTAATAGAACAATGTCATTAAGAACGGAACTGGAGCCCAACCTGCTGAGGCAACAGCAAAGACCTGGCAAGGAGTCATCTAAGAGAAGCCAAGAGAAAACCAGAGGAGCAATTAGCTCCTTAATTCAATGTGAGTTCTACAGTGCACTACATTTTTAAGAGTATTCTTGGCATATGACATTTCACCAGTGTGGCTGGCAGGAAGCAGGGAGCCCAGAGAGCTACAGCCATGGCAGGCACTCACACCACACCAGATAACGCATTTCTGTTGGTGACTGCACGGCTGGAACATGATTCAGCAGCTTCAAGCGACACAACGAAATGCAAGGGAAGGAACCAGGACTGTTAATTTGGAAAGAAATTAACCTTAACGGATAAAACTTCCAAGTAAGTAGTGTCTGCCTGGAGAGGAAAATGGCAAAAGCAACTTCCTAGGAAGTTTATTCAAGGGGTCAGCAAAAATGCTGCACAAATGTCACATCTGCACTAAAAGTTCCTTCTACTGTAAATACGTCCATTGCCGTTACACTCTGCAAGTCTGCCAATCTACAAAATATCAGCAAATCATTTCAACAACACAGGTTTCCAGTTCTTGAGTGATGCTGGATAACGCACAGGAAATTACTGACCCATTTAGGGAGTCAAGACTTCTGGATTGGACCAGGCCTGTTGATGGCACCACTCCCTGCACCGCTGCTTGGATTACTCAAAATCCATTCCTCGTGCCCTTCTATTCCCGATGATAAGATTGTAAATGATCAAATATTTTCAACTGTTGCTTAGATCTGTTTTTTAGTTATTTAACTTTCTGCTCCCAGAAGTTACAGCAGCTAACAGGCTAAGAAGCACCTGAAAGGGAGACCACCAAAAAAAGCACAAGCCACTAAGACAATATTCAACACTCGGCAAATCTCAGATGACAGAAAAAGTGACTTGGAAGAATTTACTCAACCTATTATCTTGGTCTAGATGATAGAAGAGGAAAAGAAAAGACCAAGAAAGATTTGTTACACCAAGCCCATGCTGGAAAACTCACCCTTCTTTTCTAAAATAAACAAACTAGTTTTTACTATCACAGCACTACGAGATTCCTCTCATTGTTTTGGGTATTAAATATTGCATTCTGCTTTCCTGTTCCATGAATACTTTAAAAGAACACAGAAATTTAACCAGAATCCCAACAGTTGATTAAAACAATGTGAAAGACTGAAAAGGAAGGACTGTATTATATGAGATACTTAATGTGCCTCTTATAACAATGTAGGTTCCACTTGGGTTCAATACCTTAGTGAAAGTGGTAAGAAATCAGAATAGTAAGGGAAAGCAGGCAATGAAAAAATTTCTTGCATATTAAACAAGTGAAGAAGCTGCTTCAGCAAAGTGGTCACAGAAACAGGATACACCAAACTCCTATAGTATGGGCAATTAATAAACTGCCTTTGGGAAATGAGTTGAAACATTTGAGTTTCAGCTTGAAACTGTAAGTTGAGCTGAACATCCATTAATATCTCAGCTGAGGTGCAAACTATTTCATTTTTAAATTAAAATAAGCTATTAATAAAACATTAACCTGAATAGCAATGACTTGACGCAGGTTGGAAGTAGGGTGTACACAAACCCCTGGGAATACGGCAGGAAAAAAAATTATTTCTCAAAATGTTATTGTGGGAGAATTAAGTGATTAAACTGATCGCAAGTGTGATGATTATTTAGCATTTTCCACAGTTTTTGAAGATTTGTGCAATATGGATTAAAACAATCACAATGACTCTGCCTCAGCTGCTTCACTGTGCACCCCACTGCTAACTCACGGGATGGCCCTGCCATCTCTCTGTGGTTGCCTCAGGAAGCCTTGAGGAAGGTTGCAGGCTCCAGGCCCCTGGCACAGAGTCCTCATCAGAGTCTGTCAGAACCTTCTGACAGCAGTTCTCATCTAGGTATTTGCTACAGTTCTTCAGATGCTGAGAAAAATCACAAGCGACAAGAACTCACCGTTCCCTAACCTAAGAGAGCAACAACTTACAGTTCCATAAATTCTTAACGCAATTCCCAACTCTTCTTCCAAGCCCAAGGTAGCGAGAGGCTTCAGCAAGCACTCTGATCCTTGCTACCCTCAGAACAGTTTCCAGGAAGACATGAGCTATGGGTTCAGCAACTTCAAATGGCATAAAATGGCAATGCCAATAAGAACCCAGTTGTTGCCCTGTTTTTTTCCTACACCCCAGTGGCTTGGTTTGTGCTGGCTAAGTATCAGTGAAGTGAAACGAAAATCAGAAACTTGTCCACTTTTCTTTTGCCTGACTAGTTTTAACAAAAAGAAAAAACAAACCACCCCACTTTTGCTGTAATTCTTCTCAGTTCCCCAATCTGGTACATAACAAACACACAAACACCTGCATTGGAAAGGACTTTGAAAGACATCACTATGGCAGGACTGATTCTTTCCATTGCAATGCCAGTAGATTATTAGCCTCAAATGTTTATCAGATCCTCATTTCAAAATTTTCCTTTTTTAACAGTGTAAATCACAGAGGATATGGAGCACTATTTTTCATTCTCTCCCAGGCAGTACAGAAACAGTAGAGAAGTTACATGGGTGACTCTTGAAAGAGATGCACTGACACATCATGTATGAGCCAAAATAGTCAGGTCTTACATGCTTTTTTATTTTGAAGTTCAACAGGTAAGAAGAAATACAGCTTTGAAAACTCTTCATTAACTACTAAGAATTTTTTTGTAACATGTCTCAGAATGTTTTTAATTAGTATATGGCTATTTCAACTGTATACTGTCAGCTGATTTAACAAAAAATGGTAGTAATAAAATCATGATGGAAAGTGTATTTTCATGTTTCTGCCATTGCTTAGTCGCAGGTAACAAAGATACTTAAAATACTGTTTCAAGCCCTTTCTTTCACAAATATCAGCTTGAATTCCTTTGAACTCAAACTGAGAATAATCCCAAGGTATGCCTCTACTTCCTAATCTGCTGTTTCTTATTTACTGTATTTTAAGCGATTTCTCCAAAGCGAGACTTTACTGGCAACCGTAAAGCTGTACATCCATATACAGGGCTCTGCCAAACCTCACAGAGAAGCACTGAATTCCAAACAAAAGAACTCACCACAAATTACTACACCAGCCACCATTTAACCAAGGAGCATGAGCAGATATTTCAAGGAGTCCCAGCACAAGAGAGAGCAGAAATACAGCTCTTACCAGTAAAGAATCTAAAGAGGAGCTGCTGATAAGACTGCATCTACAGTAACCTTAACATATGCGATAGAAAAAGTTTTTTAAAAAAATATGGACCTCACAATAAGTTCCCACAAAGCACAGTTGTTCCAAGAAGGTTTAGTTACTGCAACTTACTTACATTTTAAAACAAATAGTCCACTATTTTTACAAGAAAAAAATTCTGCTTATATACACGGATAGAAATCACTTTGAAAAGACAAAATACAGCTACTCTGATGTAACAGTCTTCCATCTCCATATGCTCATTGAACTCCAAGATCGTGTCTACAATTAATTTGGGGAGAATCACACACATCTATGCCAAGGTGCAAAAATGCACCAACATATTTTAAGGTACAACAATTCAGTTTTAAAAACCCACAGAAGACTGAGGGTTAGATTAAGTATGACTATATAAACAATGTTGACATTTTGCGTAATGAATTCCTGGAGAATAACTTGGATATGCTTAGCAAATTATATAGCTACACATACGTAAGATTAAAAAAATAACAAAAGGATTTTTCTAACTGTATTTAGGAGAACAAAAATCTACAGCTTGTATTTTTCAACATATTTTCAGTAATATAATGACTCCCCAAAATGAAACTTCTCTCTGTAACAAATGGTCCTCCAAAGCTTTCAGAATATAGAAGGTCAGAGTTATAAAAATCAGTACAATGACCATCAGTAAAGCATTTCTGACCACTCAGCTTCCTATGACTGTGATCACAGCTATGTCATTGTTCAAGGGCCACTTGCAACTTACATCTATTTAAGAAATTATCAATGTTCTTGTTCTTCCTCAGTGCTGGATAATCCAGATCAAGGACCAAAGAATTCAAGCCATCCTGAAAAAAAAAATAAAAATAAGTTAATTGACTTCTAAAATCTTAATTAACAACTTCACTAAAACTACTACACTGACTATATATTATTCAAGCATGCATTACATTCCTAGTAGGCAAATCAAACAAGCTCTCAAGTATGTTTATAAACCAGCAGAGGAGCTAACACACACTGACTGGCTCCAAGTTCTATAAACAGTACAGCTATATTACCACTGATTAGTGGCACTGGGACTTAAACTGGAGTAGTAGTTTTAATCTTAATCAGTAAGTAATCTTACTCATTAAACACAGATTTAAGATACTGAGTTCAGTCAATCCATTTTTCCTATTTTTGTTACACATTTCTTGCAAAAAAACATTTGCAGGAAATGTCTGTATTATCCATATTATTGCTCTAATCACAGTCTCTCTACCTTCTCGTTCTGGATATTCGAAAACCAACTGCACATTTTTCCTGGAAGCAAGATGTGACCTAAACTTAAAAAGAAAATTCACCACATAATTCAGGCTCACAAGACTAGATTACTTTTTCTAAGGGACTCAAAAAAAAGCAAGCCAGAACTCTACATACCATTCTGCTACCCATTATCAGTGCCTCAGCAGAAAACAATTGAGACCTCTCAAAATGGCAAGGGATGAGATCACCAAATCTAAACTAAAAATAGTATTTTAAATGCCTGTTACAAGACTTAGCTCAATTCCACCTTTCTGCAACCCGGGAAAACATAAAAAAATTACTCTTTAAAATACAAAGACTTTTCCAGTTACACAGGGACAAATAAAATTAAAAATTAGTTTCAGATAATAAGAGGAGCCAGAGACACCATTCATTTTCAGCAAATCCAGTGTTCAGCATGAACTAGCAGTTTTATTCATTACTCTAAGAACAAAATTCTGAGACTGTTTCTTCAGCTTTTTGAACCTTGATAGGGCATCACAGAGATTTAAGTCAAAGACCACATCATGTTTATTATAGGCAGCCAACAGAACTAGAAAGCTTTTCAGTCTTCTTAATAACTGAGGCTATAGTTAACAATCTGCTGATTTCATACTTTTTTCTTAATATATCTGGGAAGGTATCATTTATTGAAAATATGACTAAAATTATTATACTCATTCTAAAACCATATCTATCCAGATAGAGTCAAAGGCGAGGCCTAAGATTATTAAATACATTTTGAATGCCACTTTGTCCTAAATACGCACATACGCAAATAAGACTACCCCTGTGGATACCACAAATACATTAATGTTTAAGACCATTCTTAAAACTAAGAGATTTTATTTCTTTATTTACTTTTTACCTCCTGACAAATGGAAGTGCCTTGGGAAGTGTCTGACAAAGTACAGGTTAGACAAATGATTAAAAACTGTCTGAAAGACTAGGCCCAGAAGACTGTGATCAGTGGCACAAAGTCCAGTTGGAGGCCAGTCACTGGCTGCACACCCTTGGACAGAGAAGATTAACGCAAAGGTCAGTAAGGGGAAAAGCCAAGTCCTGCTTTTAAGGAAGGAATAACCCAGGCACCAGGTACAGGTTGCAGCCTGAGAAGCTGGAGAGCAGCTTTGCAAAGAAGGATCTGAGGGTCCTAGTGAACAGCTGATCCTTCCTCTCTGCTCAGCACTGATGAGGTCACACCTGGACTGCAGCATCCACCCCTCGGCTCTACAGGTAAGGATTTACTGGAGCGAGTCCAGCAATGGGCCATGAAGATTAAAGCACTGGAGCATTTCTCAAGAGGAAAGGCTCAGAAAGCTGAGACTCGTCAGCCTGAGATGTCTGAGATGCTCAAGGCAGGGGACCTCATCGGTTGTGTATCAGTACCTGATGGGAGGGACTGAAGAAAAGGCAGGGCTCACTGACAGGACAAGAGACAATGAACACAAGGTAGAACACAGGAAATTCTATCTGAAAACCACAACTTTTTTCCTGTGGTCAAGTACTGGAACAAACTGCCCAGAGAGATTTTGGAGTCCCCACCAGTGGAGATACTCTAAACCTGACTGGACCTGCTCTTGGGTAACCTACTCTGGCTGACCATGCAATGAGCACGGGTGTCGGACTAGATGATCTCAAGAAGTTCTTGCCAACCGCAAACATTCTGTGATATAACACCTATAATATTTCCACTGCTGCTCAGAGAAAAGGTGGAATTTTACTCCTGAATCTATGTAACACAAACTGTTATGAAGGTCTTACACATCAAGTTTTAGAACTTCCTAACAGAAAGAAACATAAAACAGTGTTAATAAACAAAAAGGGAAGTCAGTAAAGAAGGCACAGTAGTTGCTTTAATAACAATATTTACAGGATTACTTCAGCTAGATCATAAATGTTCCTGCAGGATTCATTAAGGATAAAGGAGTGATGCACCAGGACACCATGCTCATCTTTCAGAGGGACAGAAGACTTACTACCTATTCTTAATTTTGACAACAATTTTACAGAAGATAAAATAAAACCAAATCAAAGCAACAAAGTTATTAAATACTATGGGATTATTCACTTCCTGAATTGCACAGGTACTGCCCAATAACCCGGACAAATCCAATGGAAAGTACTTTAGGTGACTTTAGGTGACTTCCTGCAAAATAACAGGATCTGTACTACTCTTTATTTACCAAACACCACCTTCCAAAAAGGATACCTCATTCTGCAGCACAGCATGTCAGCAGAAATATGGATCCTCACTTTGCAAAATGTAGAGAAGGACCATGTTGAATGCCCCAATGGAAAACAGATGGGCCACCTTTTAGGATTTTACCTAGTTCAGTAAAGTATCAATTCCAATCAGCTGGCAGCCTACATACACCACCAAACTCTAACATTCTTCTTTCACTGCCACAATATTCTCATGATCACTAACAACTGGGCAGGCATTTTAAGGAAGATGTAAAAGCACTCTGTGCTAACACAGATCAGCCAGGCATACTTCTGTTCTTCATATTTTGGAGGAGAAGAGAGGTGAGGTCACCTGATATTTTAATGCTTTTCATGCAAAGATATTTTGCAGTCAACCAAGAAACACATTCATAGTGAACCTGATTTCCATCTTCTGCAAAATTTCAGGGAAAAGAATAAAGTTATCAACCCTAATAAAAATTTTTGTGAAGTTGGATTACAAGGTCCAAAACAACTGTAACTTCCAATTTAAACCGAGCTGTATATTAAAATTTCAGATGTCACTGTTTTTCCCATGTGTCATTCTGATTCCACAGCTTTTTTGTGGGCTACAAAAACTGAGAACCATATTTGCAGCTAATTTTTTTATTAGCTCTTTCTGCCTCTCTTTCATGGACTCCTGGTAACAATTTTCACCAGTAGCTATTAATCAATGGTAATTTGAGAAAGTGCAACTGACTATTATTAACTATTAGGAAGTGTCCTAACTCTTGAAGACAGCCAGCTACAGGTGGTGTCAAAGAGAGGTGATTAGTATCATCATCACAAGGAACAGAGAGCGTGTCAACCTTTTTTTAACCCTGTGATCAAACCTTATTATCGTACTCCATCAAAGACAAGTGTTTTGTTTTTTATAAAGAAAGCTTTTAAACAAAATTTTAAGTTCATAAGTTCATATCAACAGGTAGTTTATGAAAGACTTGTCTTGCACATCAACATTTTGTCAAAAGTTGTTTCCTTTAAAGCTTTACATTTTCAGTGAAAGACCTAGTTTATGTTACTTAACACAAAAATTCACTACAATTAAGAAGCTGGGTCAATAGAGTACGCAGTAAACAGGCTGTTCAGACTGAAGAGAAGTAATCCAGGAAATGACGTTGCCTCTGTCTAGGCTTCAGAGATAAGTCACTTCAACCAGGAAATATGCTATTAAAGGGATTTCACTGTTCACTTCCTCTTTCTGCTCTTACAAAAGACTCAGAAGCTCACAGGCCAAAAATAGCAGCTTCCAAACAAACGCACCACTGGCAAAGTCAGATCAGCCCCATCAAAAGCCTTTTGCTCATGGTCAACATGCTAAAATGTTTTCCATGGATTGTTTTCCAAAAGAAAAGTCCAAACTTGATAAATTTTGCAACACCTTCCTACTACACCAGGAGGAAAGTTCCTGGCCACTCTGACAGTCACCCTCTGTGGACAACGTGGAGCTTGGCTTTCCCAGCAAGTGACTTGTACTGTTTACAGACCTGAATGAATCTAAGAAAAAAGAGGCAAGAAAAGTTCAGGAGATATAGGAACAAAATGTTTATGTTCTTCTTTGACAAAAGGGGCTGTAACAAGGAAAAATACTAGTAGTTTCTCAATAAGTCCCATGTTAATTCCAGGCAATCCAACTTAAGCTCTCACCAAATTAAACCATGCTGTGCTAATAGGAATTTCTAAAGTTTAAATAACTGTTTGAACCTGTCTAACACTGATATGTACGTGTAAACCCCACAGGGTATCAAAACCAGCTTTGGCTACTTTGATTTATTCCTCCCTTTCATGATGCGAAAACAGTAAAACTCCCAAAAGTAAGATGATTGGACAGAAGAGGTGTTGAGTTGCTTCAGGAAACAATCCATAATCCTGCAATAACTGGAAAACATAAAAAGCCTGATCTAGTAAAAGATGTCCCTGTGCGGGGACAAGAGGTTGGACTACAAGAGACTTCAAGGTCCTTTCCAACCCACACCCATGTGATTCTGTGAAAACTTCACTAAAGCATTACTTACAGGGCAACCAAAAGAATATTCCTTTCACCTTCCAAATCCTCAAATAAAATGTAATAAAATACACTGCAGCAAAAAGTACAGATAGAAAAGTCTTGTAACTTCAGATTACGTTTTCCTAACTTGGCCTACATGCTTTTTAAGGTAGAACTTCCCAAATCTATGCACACAAGAACTGACCATCTAATGACTCTTCATAATGATTAAATCCCCACTACGTTCTTCCTTAGGTCAACTGGAGCCTTGAATAATTCTGGTCTTTCCTGAGTGATTACCTCTTTCCATACCATAGAAGGTGAACAGCTCAGTTATAGAATACAATATGA